CAACGCAAGAAGGATTAAGGCAAGGAGGAGGACTAAGCCCATTATTATTTACGATCTTTATTGACGAAATAATCAAAAAATCTTCAAGCAGAATGACAAAACTACACGTGGGACACTGGAATCTGAAAAGAGTAGATGTATCAGAGGGCGCTTTTGCAGATGATGTAATAATTATGACAGAAAAAGAAAAAGACTTAAAAAAAAATATAGAAATTTGGAATGCGGTTTGTGAATAATTCGGAATGAGAGTAAATAAATACAAAACTAAAGTTATGGCTATAGGAGAGAAACAAATGGATATAAATGTACAAATAGATGGAATAAAAATCGAACAAGTAAAAACATTCAAGTATCTGGGAGTAGAAATAGAAGACAATGGCAAACAAGAAATAGAAATTAACAATAGAGTAGAAAAAACAACAAATCTTTACTACATGATGAATTCGGCGTTTATAAATAAAAAAGAAATTTCAAGGAAAACAAAGATAAATGTATTTAAAACAATATATCGACCAATTTTACCATTTGGATGTGAATCATGGGTGTTGACAAACAGACAAAAAAGTAAAATACAGGCAGTTGAAATGAAGTATCTCAGACAAGTTAGAGGTGTCGGTGTCACAAAGATGGATAAGCTGAAAAATACAGACATAAGAAAAGACCTTGACATAGAATCAACTCAAGTTCATTGAAAAGCGACAATTAAGCTGGTGGGGGCATCTAGAAAGGATGAACGACATTAGACCAGTCAAAAGAGTATGGCAATCAAAGATAGAAAAAAGAAGGAAAAGAGGAAGACCAAGACAAACATGGGATGCAGTATGGAGTTATTGGAAGCATACTGCAAAAAAAAGGAAAGACATGGGCACAGGCAAGAAGAATGGCAAGAGATAAAAAACAATGGGCAAAATTTGTACACGAATAAAATTTTATTTAAAAATGTAATATAATGTAATTGTAAGTGAATTACACCCCTACACCATATAGTATGGTATTCGGGGATTTTGATAATATATACCGGGTGTCTACGAGATCAGTTTCGCGCTGGCATTTGCTGGTTTTTTTTTCGATGGCAAAGATTTTTGGTATGGAGTGTAGGTTTGAGAAATGTCATCTTTTGACATGTGTGTCAATGTTTGGTAACTTCCGGTTTGACCGGAAATGGTCCTAACTCCGTAATTTTAAATGGCATCCCAATAATTTTTTCACATTTTTGGTATCTGCGGATCATGATGTGTACGAAAACGTCAAATTTGAACATTTTTGAAGAAATTTCAGAACTCTGGATGGAAATTTATTTTTGAACAGGAAGTGACAGAGCGGTCTTAAAATTGTTATTTTCAACCAACACAATCGTAGAAAAATGTGAATGCCAAGCTATTATCCTATGCTTGTTCTCCAAAGGCTTCCAAAGCTGAAAAAATCACATTTTACGTGATATCTCAATGAAATCAGTGAAATCGCCCGACTTTCATAACAAATGTTTTTTACTTTTTTGAAAATAAGACCAACTATGCATTAAAACTTTTTATTCATGCCAGTTTTTATTTATTTTTCCAATATTTTTATTATGCATTACTATAACTGATAAAACTACTTATAAATAAACCCCTGTATTCAAACTTTGTATTTACAAATTCCCGAGATGTCAAACAATGACAAATAAACATATCTTGCCCACAGATCTTTTCAATGGCTTGTCAAGAAAAAAAAAACACCAGCTCCTTTTGGAAAGCGTTCTTCATACAGGGGTTCATTTATAAGTAGTTTTATCATTTATAGTAGTGCATTATAAAAATAATAAGAAAATGATTAAAAACTAACATAAATTAAAAGTTTCAATGCATAGTTGGTTTTATTTTGAAAAAGGTAAAAAACTCTTGTTGTGAAAGTTGGGTGATTTCACTGATTTCATTGAGTTATCACGCAAAATGTGATTTTTTCAACTTTGGATGCCTTTGGAGAGCGAGCAAAGGATAACATCTTGGCACTCGCATTTTTCTACGATTGTATGGGTTGAAAACAACAATTTCAAGACCGCACCGTAATTTTCTGTTCAAAAATAAATTTTCATCCAGAGTTCTGAAATTTCTTCAAAAATGTTCAAATTTGACGTTTTCGTACACATCATGATCCGCAGATATAGTATTTTTAATACCTATTTAGAAGTACCTGTCGTTTTAGTGACAAAACGTATGTCGCTTCTTGACACACAAATAAAATGAGGTTAGGAATTTCCTATTTGTAGATGAAATTGACGTATTAGCAATCGACGTTCGTTTTTGTTGGTAATTTTTTGTTTCATCTGATTCGTGATTGATAAATAAGGATAGGGTTATTCTAAATGGGTATTACAAATGCTATACCAAAAATGTGAAAAAATTATTGGGATGCCATTCAAAATTACGGAGTTAGGACCATTTCCGGTCAAACCGGAAGTTACCAAACATTGACACACATGTCAAAAGATGACATTTCTCAAACCTACACTCTATACCAAAAATCTTTGCCATCGGAAAAAAAAAAACAGCAAATGCCAGCGCGAAACTGATCTCGTAGACACCCTGTATATAAGTACTCATGTTTATCTACAAGTTTTGTATTTAGTTTTTTCTCCGATCTCCGATAGTATAGGAGATATGGACCACCGCGCGCTTAGTAATTCACCCGTTTATATAGGGAAAAACGCGAAAATCCCTTCCAAAGTCTCATGCTCATGTTATTTTTTTTTTTAAATAATAATAAATAGCTTAAGATATCTGGATTTGTTATAATGTTTCACTTTGTAAATTAATGAATAACATTTAAACAATAAATTGTTTATGAACAATTATCTCCAAAGCTTAAATGGTGTAATTTTTCTTTCTTCAATGTGAAACCTTGAAAGGGGTTTTCATGTTTTTCCATATAACTATTGTAGACATATCGTTGAAATCAGGTTGCAGGGAACTATCAAATAAACGCACAATATACCATTGTGTTCGATTTAAAATAATATAACTTTGCACTGCTACACTTTTTTGACGCTCCCTGTAAGTTGAAAACTTTTGACAATTTCCTGAAACTTTTGTATTTGACACTTTTGTCAAAAACGTCAAATGAAAAAGTTAGGATCGAGGGGGTGAAATTTATAATACAGGGTGTCCCAGCCGAGAGTGACCCATTTCAAACAGGGACGTATCTAGACCAAAATTTGGGGGGGGGGGGGTTAGACAAAGCGGCAAAAAAAAATTGTTACACTAGTAATAACAATAAAAAAAATAAATAAGTATTTAATAAGTGTTTTTTGTTTTTAAGATAAATTTTTTGAATTTTATTATTTTTTGGGGGGGGGGCCTCAAGATGTCTTTAGGCAGACATTTGAAAGATGTTGGGTTTTGTCACATAAGACGTCTTCAAGATATCTTTAAGACGCCTTAAAAATCTTATGGACGACTTTCGGATTTCTACAAAAATTTCCCACAGAATTTGTTTCTCATTCAATTCAAAATTTACTGAGGAACCATTTAGAACAAACCTATTTACAATTTCCAAAAGCATTTTAGAACAATTCAGAAGTTTGAAACCCATTTTAAGACGCTCCCAAAACACCACTCTAGAATCTCTAGAAACATTTTGAAAAGCGTTAGAATCTCAGGCAAGTTAAAAATTAGAAAACGTCTTTCAGAAGGCTTTCAAGAGCGAGGTTAAATTGCTGTAGAACTTTAAACCTTCAATAAGCATCCAAAACATTTCAAATTCAAATCGGAATTTTCACAGAAGCATTTTGAAACAATTTAGAAACTTCAGAGTTATTTCAGAACAATTAAGATTCAATTTTTAGAACTGGAAACCTTTTAGAACTCTATTCCACCAACTTAAAACACTTTGGAGCTTCAATAGGGCTCTAACATACCTAAAAATGTGTAAAAACAATTTAGAAATTACTGAAAAACTTCTAGAAACACTTTAAAACTTCAATAAGCCATTCAGAACTTTGCAAATCACTTTCCAGCAGTATTTTGAAAGGCTTCAGAACAATTTAAAAATTTCAGAATTATCTCAGAGAGCTTAGTGCCTAGAATAGGCAAAAATTGAAAGTTATAGAATGAGTAATAATAATGAAAGATGAATCCTATAAAGACGTCTTTAGGCAGAGGTCTGAAAGACTTTGGGTTTTGTAACATACGACATCTTTAAGACATTTTGAATATAATTTTGATATCGTTTGAAGATTTTGATATCAAAATCAAAAAAAAAAAAGGAAACCTTAAGGCACAAGTATCGAAAACTGAGAATCACTTCATTTTTCCCAATTTTTACCTTCAATCAATAGAGGAGGTCCAAGTTAGTCAAAAAACGACAATTTTTAAATGAGACAATTTAATTTTGGCTCTGAAAATTTGTTGGAACAGTGTAAATCGGTGCAAATCAAGGTTTTTCTAGTAACTTCTTAGTTTAAATCTGTAATTTTTGAAAACTGAACCCATAAATAACTACTTACCCCAAAACGCAGTTTAGGGTGTTTTACATTTTCTAATAATATCGCAAAAAACGTGAAAAACGGCTGAAGAATTTAGAGTTTTGAATATTACTCAAGCAAGACACAAGCTTAAAAATCTATACGGAAAACTTACTAGATTTCCCGCCAAAATGGCAGTCGGGAAGTGAAATAAACCCTGGTTATTTTTAACCAAATTACTATAGCTACTTCCTACTTAAGATACCAGGAACATTAATTTATTTAAACCTTGTAAAAGAACAGTAGAACATTATAAGATGGTTTGAGTTTCATATGAAATTCTGTATAAATGAATAATAATTTCAAAACAATTTTTTCTTTAGGTATTCTACAAATTTACTTTTTCAAAAATATTATATTTTTGACTCAAACTCCAAAAAACACTAAAATTTCAACATGTTTTTTACTTATAGACGCAAATAATTTAAACTTAATACATCAAAATTTTCAAAAAATAAAAATAAAAAAAATGTAAAAACAAAAATCCACTTTTTCCTACCTTCAGTTTGTACGTTTCCTATCACTAATAATACAAGAACTAGGCCCAAAAAATGGGGCGTCCGATGCTGTCCACTGTCCATCCTCATTCTGCAAGGTCGGCACCACAACAACTAACAGATAATTACCCCCTGTTCGTTTTATATAGAAGCCATGACAGAGCCCAGGCTCCAAGTACCCATACCGAATTGAGCCGAGTGATAAGACTTTAAATAGTACTCAACTACTATATTATTGTAATTAGTTTTTTCGAATTCTTTGTCTTGTGCCAGAATATTTCTTCAGCAATAATTTTCATCTATCTGAAAAAGTTTCTTCTAAGTTTTTCGAAAAGTTTGTTTGGAAAACCATTTTTAACTGTAATTAGTTTTTTTCTCATTCATTCCACCCCCTCATTTTCTTCTGAATTCTGTCAAAAATGGAAAAATCTAGGACCAATTAAAATTTCCTCTATAAATATCACGTTGCTGATTAGAATAATTTTTATCTATATACTGTTTTGTAATCTATTAGTCACGTTGACTCTGCATTTTCACTGTCGGGTTCAATCCCCCGGGATCGACAATAATTTGAAAGAGAAAATCATCAACCTACATATATTTTTTTTGGATTGTAGAGCTGGCTTTCAAAAAAGCTTCAAAGAGCTTTAGAACTAACTCATACAGTAAATCAACCATTCACACTTCAAAAAAGCCAAATGAGTTATCTGTTAAAGAGTTACTGATTGCTGAGTTTTGTCGTAGTTGCCAAGAATGCCAAGCATGTTCAATGTTTATACTGAAGGCAGCATCAAGCTGTTCATTAATTTTGTAGAAGACTTGCAGATAGCTTTAAGTGATTACGTACTCAAAAGCCATGATTGTAGATAAAGAGTTAAGAACTTTGAAAGCAATTGCTCTACATTTCTCAATTGAGAGAGTCTCTCAAGGATTTGGATGTTAAAAATGTCTCTGGAGAGTCTTTCTACAAAAGAAATTGATAGCAGTTTGCATAGAGGCAGTCTACATCGCTGATACAGAAAAATTTATAAATAATACATGCTCCCTTATCTATCCTTTAGAGAATACTTATTTCCAATCGAGAAATGTTTGAAAAAAGTTTGAGACAGAAAACTGCTTTATAATTTGTAGAAGCTTGCAGAACCCAACTCCAGCCAGACAGCACAGTGTCATCTTAAAGACGTCCCTAAGATGTCTACAAACGACATTCAAGACGTCTACTTACGTCTTCAAGGCATCTTAAAAACTTCTTAAAGACGTCGTTTTTATGTTACAGAACCCAATGTCTCTCAGACGTCTCCTTAAAGACGTCTTCATAGGAGTAATATTTCATTATTTTTAGGTACCTACTCATTTTATACCTTTCAATTTTTGTATATTCCAGGCGTTAGGCTCTCTGAAATAATTCTGAGGTTTTAAAATTATTCTGAAGCCATTCAAAAGACTGCTGGGAAGTGTTTTGGAACGTTCTAAATGGCTTATTGGAGTTCTAAAGTGTTCTAACTTGGCTTGACAAGTTCTAGAGCATTCTAGAAGTTTTTCAGTGTTTTCTAAATTATTCTGACAGATTTTTAAGGATTTTACAGCCCTATTTGAAGCTACAAAGTGTTTTAAATTGCTTCAAAAGAGTTCCAAAATGTTTCCAGTTCTAAATTGAATTCTAATTGTTCTAAAATAACTATGACGTTTCTCAATTGTTCCAAAATGCTCCTGAAAATTCTGATTTGGATATGTACTATTAAAGGTCGACTGCAATCTAAATTCGCTCTTTAAAGCCTTCTGAATGGCGTTTGGTAACTTTTAATCTGAATCCTTAAATTCTGGCGGTTTTCAAAATGTTGAATTCCATTTTACGTGTTTTGAACTTTCCATCAAAATGGCTTATTATAGTTCTAAAGTGTTCTGTAGTATTCTAAATGCTTTCCAGTAACTTCTAAATTGAATGAGAAACGAAGTATGTGGGAAATTTTTGTACGCATCTAACATCTAAAGACGTCCCTAAGATTCAAGACATCACGAAGACGTCGTATGTTACAAAACCCAACATATTTCAGACGTTTTTAGGACAGACGACTTTAAATCTCTTTTCAATAAATAAACCATTATTCACTTCTAGGCCTGGTTGTACCAAATAGTTGTCTTTAGCATGTGAATTTACGACATTTTGTGATGGACATCTTCAAAACAACGTCTTCTAGACGTCTTTTTTTTTGTCTTTAGACGTAATGCAGACCTTGAAAAGACGTCTTTAAACCTGCTAATTGGGAGGAATTATTAATTTCAGTTAGATTTACAACAGAGAATCTACAAGGTTCTGTAGAAGAAATATTGAAACAACCCCTCGACTGTATAAAAATCCTGAAAGCCAACTTGAGGTCAGAACGCAAAAAAGCTGTATAAGGGTAATTGAAAAATGAAAATGGTTCATGTGATTGAAAAACTCTAGGGAAATAAAGGGAGCTGGAGTTCTTAGATTACGTTGAGATTAGTTGCAGAAATCAAGAAACTGGGAGAAGAGGATAGAGAGAACTTCTGGATTTTAGGAAAACTGGAGTTGTAAACAAGCCGAGGAAGATATGAAGCAAATTGAGAAACTTGGAACTTCAAGAAGTTCTGGAAGCGGAAAACTATGGACCCCAGAGAAGCATGCAGACCCTAGAAAAGCTGAGAAATTTTGCTAGAGTTCAAAAATTTGCTATATTTTCAAAAATTTATTAAAAATTCGAAAATTATTGCGATAATAGTCTGAACCCGAGACTCTTATCAGGATTTAGATAGATTCTAGAAAAACTATTTCGCTCTTTTTGATAAATTGCCTATAATTTGTAGTATTTTTGGTAATTGCAATTTTTAATCTTTGCTTATTTATAATTAGATAAAAGTTTAATCAGTGCTGATTTTGTTTGCTGTTAACAAGCATTTTAACATTATTAATCTTTGGGGAATGATTTTGTTGCTAACATTATAATTTATATAGGAAGTCTCTACAAGTTGGTTGGTTTGAAATTGCTTTTTAGCCCAATGACAGATATTTTTTAAATAAAAAAATTACCGCATACGATTTGTTATTGTGTGATTGTTGTTTGCAAATTTCTGTAGATTTAAGGGGTTTCCAATTGAAAAATTTAATTCCACATAATTCATTAATAATAATTTATTTATAGTTTTTGTTGTGTATAGGAAAAATAAAATCTTATATTGTTTTTATTTTTTGACAAATCCGCTTTCATGGCCTTTGCTTATTGATGTAACATAATTTGAAAATATTTATTATTTAGTTATAGTTATAGCGGAAAATACCCAAAAAAGGTCATCTGGTCAACACACTTAAATGTACAAAATATTTATCTACCTAAACGGTTTATTGAATTATATGACCGGTCGTCAAAAGGTACCTATCGATACCTATTTATTCCAAATTACAATAGATAAGGTAAACCATCCAAAAACAAGTTCGAAAATCTCAAAAATAAATTATTGGAAAAAGGTTAGGCTATTTACCTACCTACTTAGGTAAAAATTAAAAGGGTAGGTAGTTGTTATGACGAATATATTAAAGTATTTAGCCTGTGCAAATATTTGTGGTAAGTAGTAGCCTGCTGAGAATTATTTTATATTATTTTTATCATTTATTATTTACTTTCTTCCGCTGAACTTTGCCTCCCCGATAAGAGTTTATTATACTTGAGAAGATTTACTTTGTCGATAAGAAAATAATTGACCACCCAAAACAAAATCCATAATATGCATTTTGTATTAGCCAATCGATATTTAAATGAACAGAGATTTTACATCATTTAAGTACCACCATAATATTCCAACTACGGTATCCGTCAAAATAAACAGTATATACCAAAATCTAGAGCTCTGAGGAATTGCGTAGGTACGCATACGCAAGTTGCATTTATCATATCTCGCTTACTTGGCATTAGTTATGAGGTTGACATGTTAAGGTTAAAATCTTCGTCATTATGTATCTTTCAACTTAAGAAACAGTTTTCTTAGTAGAGCACTATTGCCGGTCATACGGATTTGGGAGGAATAAAGGCTCAAGTTTGAAACAAGTCTCAGAAAAATTTCAGCAACCACTCTTAATAAATATTTTCAATGATTTGCAGAATCGTTATGAAGCTCTTTTGCGTCGCTATGATGCATTTTTTGAACATACAGTGTGTCCCAGATTCGCTTCTCTATCTATCTATCTATCCACCGTTTATACCCGCAGCAAAGGTTAAATGGGGAAAGTTCTAGAGGAAGCTAAGTGCATTCGATAATCGGCTTCAGATTCACGATCGCTCAATTAGAGTTGGAAATATCGACGAAAAACCGAAAATGGTGGATTTCGTTTTTTGCCAGTTAACCCGAAACGGTTAATTTGACAGCTGTGAAATTGTGAAATTATTCAGACACTTTTTCAAGACCAATGAGATAGCGTGCATGACATGTCTCAATCGTCTTTTGTTATCCCGCAACAGAGGCCCGCAACCCGTCTCAACTTTCATTTTTCTTATGGCCGCCATATTGAATTTTTCGATTTTTGGAAAAAGCATAGAATTTCCAGTCTAGTGATGTGTCACAAGTGGATAAAAGATTTCAGTGTCATCGAAAACTTACACTTCGTAAAGTTAATGTCTGGCCAACGATTATGAAGCTACGGAGTAAGGGAAATCAAGTTGTAAAAAAAATGGCGGTCGGCTGATTTCATCCATAAAATACCTACCCAGGTGCGTGCAGAACTTTTTGGAAGTATATCGTACACGAAAATCGACACTGACCAAATCACCGCCATTAGATATTTCAATGTAAGTCGATATTTCAAGATGGAAGTCATCGGAGGAACACGGATGAGAACACTTCTTCCGCTACCACACCGCCTTTGAAGATGACTACCGCAGCAGTAGACGGAACGAATATTACTAGACCACGGCATTATAACTTGGAAAAAACTTTTTTACTCTCTGTACCGTTGATTTTGGCACACCAATTTCACGTTCTACAGTTCTTACCGATGCCTAGGATTTTCGTTGACAGCTAGTGAAATGTTTCTGTCGCGATTTTCATTATCAATATTTTATCCGCTTTTAGGTTTTTCGAAGGCCACATGGTTAATTAAATTTACTACGATTTCTGTGAATTACGTTTTATGAGGCTGCCCTCCTTCGGGGTACATCTCCAAATACCTTGCTGAGGTATTGTCGGCGTTTCTGAGTGACTGCAATTACAGCACTAACAAGTCAAACCTTTCTTCATTTGAATAAGGAATACCGGCCATTTTCAACAGGTTTCGACAATTTGTGTGTCCAGGTTTATGATTTTAATGGAAGAGAACTTACTATTATTAATAGACAACTTTGACACTATGAATTATTTTATCCTAAACAAAAACATCTAATTTTGTCTATTATCATATATAATATCACAAGAGAAAAAAATTTGTCGGCAAAATTTTCGAAAGGTATGAAAGTTTGTTGCTATCTAATTGATCGATCGTTAATCTGGAGCCGATTATCGAATTCTCTTAGCTTTCTCTAGAACCTTCCCTATTTAACCTTTGCTGTGGGTTTAACAGGAGTCGATATCCCTGTATAGAGAAGCGAATCTGGGACACACTGTATACGCATGATACAAATAAATAAGTGATATAATTTATATGTTCGGTACTGTTTATTTTGGCGGATACTGTACATGCTATAAAAAGTCAAATACCGGATTAAGGATCAGACAAAAACTTCCTATTCAGGACATCGGACATCCTATTCTACAGATTTTCCATGTGATTTAGATCAGGTGAATTAGCTGTCCATTGGCCAACTAACCAAAAGTTAAATCTCGTTTTTTGTGACACTCTGTCATTATGTCCTGGTTTATAATAATTCTAAAAACTTTAGGTCGTCCTGGTTGATTTCGCGATGGTATATGCCGTTAGGGAGATGTCCAAAATATTGAAGGTACCAGGTCTTTCATAGTTCTCTCCGTTGCTATCCGGTTGAACATATAGTCTGACTGGCGAGAGTTTACCGGCGGCAAATATGCGAACTAATACCTATTTCTATCACGCTTTATTCCATGGCAACTGTGTATTTTCATATCGCTTTTTCCTCCCCGTTCACCTCAGACCGAAACGCTTTTCTCTCAGTAGCAAGCACAAGTAGAGTTGGATTTATATTTTGATAATTTGTACCTATACATCTTGCCGATAGTTGCGCCCTTGTTGTTGTTGAATTTGTTGATGGAGATGTTTTGTTGAATTTATGCTTGCAGAGGGAGTTGTTCAGGTGTCTTCAAGCCCATTATAGTCATCGCCAATTGTATCGGTAGCAACGAAAGATTCATCTACCAGATTTTACCAATTCAAGGTAATGCCACAATGCCTTTTGGACTCTGTAACGTCTCCGCTACTTTTGAGAAGAAATCGTACTACAAGCAAAGTATGCCATATGTGATCTACCTGGATGCGATGTGTTAGTGATGGGAAACACTTTCGATGACCACCTACGAAACTTATAAGAAGTATGTATTTGTATCTGTAAGGCAAACACCCGATTGAATGACAAGTAATGTTCATTCTTCTAGCACCGCGTTGATTTTCTGGGCAACGTTGTTTCTTCCGAAGGAATTAATATTGAGTAGAGATGAATCCAATCAATTTGTGAATGATCTCGACCCTCGACCTCTAGACAAGCATGCACTCAGAAGTTACCTTCGTCTTTGTACATAGGTACTACAAACGATTTGTTAAAGTAGCAGCGCCGCTGCATAAACTTACTGCAGAAAAAGCTATTTCAAAATTTTGTCATAAACGAGGTAAATCTCTTTGGTTTTGCCACAATTATCTAAGACAATATTGCCATTCAAAATTTATTGATCTCAGTCTGGCGCAGGATTTGTTGTATCTGATGTTTTATGAAATTCTTCATAAGTTCTGATTGCATTATGTTAAGTCATTCAAAATACGCGTTGGGAGTCGTTTCGGCTTTCCAGCCGCTCAGCACTACCTTTACAGATATTTTGTACTTGACTCTACATCTTAAATTGTCTCCAGGAAGCGTAGACTTCTAACGAAGGAACCTATTTTTCTGGATGTCAGTTGGCCCCACCTCGAGGAATTTGAGCCTCTTGTAGAATTAGGCTGGACATTCGCAGAGCAGGTGCTCTGCGGTTTCTGTCACGTCTGAGCAGATTGAGCAGAATCTTCAGAGATCGTCTTCTGCTCTGCCCATTAACCTTAAGTGGTATTTCACCAGGCAGTGTCCTGTAAGCAGTTCTACGACCATTCTGATGTTTGGTATGCTCATTGTTAGGAGCTGTTCAGCTATTTTTGCTGAATGGGTGCCTGTCGTCCCGGAGTGTGCCTCCAATATGATGACAGTTGGTCTTTCTTCCATTTATTGAGTTCTTCCATGATGTGGCTTTTCATTAAGCCAAAATAGGGCTCTGGTCCATGGAATGTTGGTGAGGCCCCTTCTTTTGCGAGGCCATCTGCTTCTTCGTTCCCTTCTATGCCTCGATGACCAGGCAGCCACATCAACGTTAATTGGTTATGTGTCGCTAGTGTATTTAGGGTCTGTTTACACTCCCAGACTAGTTCTGAGGTGCATTCGAAAGCCCTTAAGGTCTTTAAGGCAGCTTGGCTATCTGATAGTATGAAGATGTGTTTTCCTTTGAGGCTTTGGTTGAGACACTCTTGTGCACATATGTTTACGGCAAGCAGTTCGGCTTGAAATAATATTATAAGATGTTTGCCCAATGCCTTGGAGAGCTTAAAGTTAGGGCCGGAAATTCTCAGTCCAGCTCCTTCTGTTAGTTTGGATTCATCTGTGTACCATAGAGATGCATTGTCTGCTTGTGGTAATTCTTTATTCTCACATGATTAGCGCTCGTTTATTACCACTGCGAATGGGATCTCTAAGTCCAATCTGACCATTATGTGGTCCCTTGGTTATTGCTGGCATTCTCCAGTTTTATTATTTCAAAGATGCGCAGATGTCCCTTCAGATCTCCAGGCTTGAACTTGTCTGTTTGGATTAGCCTGTGCCTGGTTTGGTAAATCCAGAACACCAACTTTGGCTTTAGCCCCTATGTTTGACCAACCAGTTTGCAGCATGACCTGATATAGCTCTAGAGCATGTTTTGTCAAACTTAGTTAGTGTTGTGCCGAAAATGGTGGGGGCTTTCAAATTAACTTCCTTCTCCTTGTTAACGGGACAAGAATTGTTTTACTTGGGTTTAGGGATAATCCCTCGCCTTCGCTCCGTTTACATGTTTAGAGCACTTTGCATTTGGCTTGTTATTACGCCTTCATGTTTAAACTTGATTATAATGATCAGGATGACCAGTCACCTGGTATATCAGATGACTGCATAGCCTATGACCTGGTATCCAGCACTACTCAGTCTGGTAGGGATCTTGTCCAGCACTAGTGTCCATAGTAGTGGAGAAAGAACACCCCCTTGAGGACACTTTCTGACTTTGGTAGCGGTAGCTGATGCTCCGTTTATTTCAGCCTTAACGTAACGATGTTTTAGCACTGACTCTATCCATTTTACAATTGGGACTTCAACATTCCATTCTTGTAAGGCTCTAGCGATTGATTGATGTGAGGTTTTGTCGAAGGCACCCTCTATGTCAATGAATGCTGTGAGAGCGATCTCTTTGCACCCGATTGTCTTTTTCCTTTCAATGTATTAAACCAGGCACTTTAAAGCACTTGTTTTGGATTTGCCTGGCTGATAGGCAAATTGCTTTGAGTAGAGGTCTTCTCAATAGAGTTATTATCTAAAGAACTTATATAGCTAATTCACAAAGGTGAGGTAAAACTGAGGTGAATAAAAAACACGTTTTAAAATAAGAATCACTCAATATATTTTTTAAGTCAGTACATATACAAATTCGGTTAAATGAAACTACAATCCAAAAAAGAGATTAAGTTTTGTCCCCACATAGCAGCAAACCTTACAATGTACCGTCACGATTCTGCACAGAGCCTCAAATTTGTGCATAGAATCAGAAATTCGTATACAAAGTGGTTTCCAAACCGTTCATGGGACAGCTTATGACGTGTTGGAACAGACCTGCAATGGGACTCTGTAACGGATAGATATCGCTATCCCCATCGCTATGGCATTTGCTATCTTCTTCTCTTTTTTTGAAATCAATAGAGAGAGGGGACGTCAATAGTAGGTAGAGAAAATATCTTTATCTGTTACAGAGTCTCAGTTCTGATGAAATTAAAATACTAGAATTGGGAATGCTTTAAAATATTTTTACTGCTTTGGATCATTTAGACTGTTTTGTAAAGATTGGGAAAATCTAATATCTTCTAGTCAATGCAAAATGGAGTTGGACTCTTAGTAGGGAGACCAAGCAACTTCTCCAAAAACTTAAGACTCAATTATCAGACTGAAGTGAGTTAGAATAATGTTTAATGTCTTAAAAACCAGGATATAGTTATTTTCTGACAAGATGGCGATTTCTTTTATCATCCCAAGACGAATGTATATGTAAATTAGCAAATTGTTGATTATTACATATGATTATAATCACAAAACAGCCAAAATGATTGTAATGCTGATAATACAGCATAATGACTGAAACAAGCTCCTAGAATTGATTCTACAAGACATTAGGGAACAAATTTCTAGTTGCTTTTTGAGGTCTTAAGGAAGCCTTGGACGTTTAGAATTGACTTGTCAAATAGTAACAAGACTATATTCTACATTCTAAACTAACGACCCTCAAGGAACGTCTATAAATTTTCCCTATATACAAAACAGCTTATATACAATGCAAAAAAACATACATATTGCAAAAGAGTGGTCAAGACATAAATAAAGACTGACAATGTCATGTAATAAAATATCACAATTTTACATTAACTGTCCAATATATTCAGCTCGTTTAAGTTTACTTCTCAATGACGGCCACTGGACAATAAAATTATCAGCAATATAAACTAATATTTTGCCACTTAATGAAAACGTTTGAGTCCTGCAAAAACTTTCAACAAAAATGATTTTACTTTCGCAAACAAATACACATTTCAATAGAAAACTCAATACACATATTGGAATGCAGGTACCTGGGCCGTTACAAAGTACAATATCAGGTCGAAGCCTTAAAACTATAGGAACTGAATATAAAATTGAGATTATTGTGGTAAAAATTGAAGTAATATAGGATTGCCCTACTGAACGGCTTCTTGGAATTTTGTTGATGAAATAATCTCGGTTCTCTTTGGAGTTTCTGCTGGCCTCAAACGTTTGTACTTTATTTAGACTAGTTGTGTCAGTTTTAGCAATAACATAGTGCCTGGGTGAATAATTATTAAAGTTAATATTTTTCAACAGCTGCAACATTTCAGTAGTGTGTCCGCCTGAACCAATGCAAATAATTGTCTTGCAGGGTTTGCTGCGTTTTGGTGCATATTTGCTATAACCTGTTGTAATCTTGTGAATCAAGTAGAGGACCCTCGCTATAACTACAACTATGACGAGTATAGTTAATTCAATTTGTAGTTGGACTGAAAGAAAGATAATTTCGTAATCATGTTGTCTAGTTTTGCAAATTTTTATTTGTTATGCACTGGAGCTCAGATAATGTATGGTACTTACTATCCATTACACGTTATAGTATCTAAGACTAAAGCGAGAATTTAGTTCACTTTATAATATAAACAGCGAATTTTGCATTTTTTAAAATGTTTTGTTAAGAAAATGGATGATACAAAATATCGAAACTATAAAAATTATTGAAAAATTTAAACTAAAACATAACCTATCTAAGCAAGTTGTAGAATGTAAAAGGGGTTTTCATTCGTCCTTGTTCGACTTGCACTACACTGACTAGTGGAAGATTTTGAAAAAATAGGTATATTTACAAATAGAATATAAATTCCGAACAAATGAGTGTGAGAAAAATTTGCTGATTTGGTGATAATAGGTCTGTTTCTGCAGAAATCACAAACCAGTCAGAGTGAATTGCATTGTTGAAACTAGTTTTCTGACTGTTTTCAACCACGGTGCAGCACAGTGTTCTGTGTTTGAAACGCAAAAGTTAGCAGCTCTCGAAGTGCAGTACGGCTGGAACACGAACACGCGCTTCAAGCATTTGCGCGCGCAAAAGCTCGATTGCGCGCGCAAAAGCTCGATTGCGTGCTCAAAAGCGTCAGCTGGAAAGCGGCTAAAAATCTGTACTCTGGTGCACTCAAATTTTCCAATCAATGGTGACGTTTGACATTTACTTTCATGCGTTTTTTTGGTTTTTTGTCGGTTGTTGTCAAGGATGATACACACCTACAGGATTGCTTATCGGACTCGTTTTTGGTAATCGCTGCCATTTTGGTGTGTCACCATTTCCGACGTCATAACTAAGTCGTCAGCTGCTTAAACAGCCCACGTCAAGGCGAGAAATAACATGCTGCTACGTCACAACTAGTGATTTGGCTTGGGGAAGGGTAGGGGGGGATTTGTTCCACACAGGCGTTATGAAGATAGGCTAGTGTAGTAGTGTGTATCATCATTGAGTTGTTTGAAAAAAAAGGTGAGTTCCGTTACCAAACCTGGTTAACCGGTCGGTATAGAATTTTTAATACCTATTTAGAAGTACCAGTCATTCTAGTGACTAAACGTATGTCGCTTCTTGAACAGACAAATGAAATTAGGTTAGGAATTTCCTATTTTTACATGAATTTGACGTATTAGCAATCGACATTCGTTTTTGTTGGTAATTTTCTGTTTCATCTGATTCGTGATTGATAAATAAGGATGGGGTTATTCTAAATGGGTATTAAAAATACTATACAACCCGTTTTTAACTCTAGTTCATTGGGGGCCATATTCTCCGTAGTTCATAAAGCCTGGCTTAGTGGAAACGCTTGGCTTTCTGTGTGACAAAGCCGAGCTTTTCGACTAAGCCAGGCTTTATGGACTACGGAGAATATGGCCCTGGTACAACCTCAGTTGACAGTAGGCGATTTCGGCAAGCTTTGGTACATGGTTTGGTACCCTGTTTGGTCTGTCAAATGCATACCAACACCACCCAATTTCGGATACGAAAATGATGTCGTCACCGTGACTTTGGTATCCTTTTTGGTCTGTCAAATAGGATTAAGGATACCGTGGTCAGCAAGTCAGCAGCACGGTTCTTCTATTTGGTATAGTGCTATCTACGTCTATTTTCGTTTTGTCCTGCTCTGGGAAATGTAAATAAATGGAAGTACATTAGAATTTGAATAATTTGAAATTTTTAACAAATATGTTTGTTTTTTCGCCTTCATCTTCCTGTTTTCTCGTATGTTTTGACTGCCAAATAATAAATAATTTTTGACGATTATTTGAAAAATGGCTTTGAACGACAGATATGAGGTAACTTTTTTGCTGACTGGATTATGGAATAAGCTTTAAATTTACAAAAAACGCTGAGTTAGCCAATAGGTTACTCAAAGGTTTTTTTTTTTTTTTTTTTTTTTTTTTTTTTTGGCTTTGAGCATAGCTCACTTAGCCACGAAAACATAATTCAAAGGTACTGTCTAGACAGCGCTGATTAGTGATTATCGTGATTATAGATTCAAGTCAGTGCAGTCAGTATCTAGTCGCTCCCAAAACTATTAGAACAACACAAAGTTAGGTTAAGGCTCGTCTTTTCCCCTCTCTCATGACCTACCAAACGAATTCGGAACAAAATGGTATCTTACGTCATTACTATGACGTTGCAGGTACCAATTGGTTAACCAAATGGTATAAATACCAACCAAAGCTTGCCGAAATCACCTAGTGTTTGCTGAAAATTTTGGTTTTATGCGGAACGCTTTTCCAATCGCAGAATCGCCGCCGGTTTCTCAATTACTGTATAGGCAGTTACACACGGACGTGGATGTCTGAAAACAAAACATGTACGCACATAGACCGGTTTTTCAGGCAGCAGACATCACTGATCACGGCACGTGTAATCGTAACTACATCGTAACCAAGGTTGGAAACGGAACCCACCCTATAATATCATATGTCAATGTCAATCGTTTGACAAGACGTTCAAGGGTTGTGTTGGTTGAGGGTTGGTGGTTCAAGTTGTTTGGTTTGTTTTGTTTTTGTTGGTTCATTGTTGACTCTTTTTAGTTTGTGATTGTTATCCTGGTAATTTAACTAATTTTCTCATTTTCTGTAGATAGTCTCATAGAGAAATTTATGATAACTGTTTAAAGGAGCTGAATAGAACTCAAGTTACTCATAAAATTTACTTTTCAGACATTTGTTCAAAATTTCATTCATTTTCAGGTCAGAATTTTTTCTGAATAATTTATCAATGAGTGAATTACTCCGCAACCTCTGCGGGACGAGCGGAGCGAGTTCCGCAGCAATTTAATCATGAAAAGCTTATTTATTGAAAATGGATTCATGTAAAAATGAAATTTTTAAACTGCTGCGAAAACGCCGGTCAGGACTGTTGTGACGCCAGAGTCCCAAAAATGCGAGGATGCCGAGTTTCTCATTAGTAAATCATTCTCAAACCTTCGAATTGAAGTAGTACTACAAAGCGGAAATTATAAGTACATCTTCTAATTCAGTTTTATCACTTTTCCGACGTGAATCGATATATCCACTTTGTCTAGCTCATGTGGATTCTTCGTGTCAAAACCCGTAACATCTGTCAATAACTTTTATGGCGTCATCTGGGGTGCCCAAACATAATGCAAATCTTTATCAGGTACCACAGATGACGTCATCTGTTTCCCATTGCCAGACAACCTATTCGTTAAATGTACTAAAAATAAAATTCACAGCTCAGTAACTAGAACTGTGGTAGAACCTATAGTGACTCTAGAAATTGCTCTAGACAAACTCTAGAACCTATTTGCATCCTTTACTACGCCATAAAAAAAAAGGAAAGGTATAGTCAGTGAACTTTCATTACCTAGTACAATGAACTTTCATTACCTAGTACAATGAACTTTCATTACCTAGTACAATGAACTATGATGCTTCCTGTTGCCAGATCTTTCTTAAAATCTGAATCTCTAAAAACGATTAGCAATCAATAAATAATACCCTGTCATAGTTTTAGATTTATCTATGTACCATCATCACCAAAAGTAACTGGAACAGCATCATATTAGCTCTTGTACGCTATTTACCTAACAAATGCGGAAAGTGATACTTTACCGCACGCAACGGCAGTCATGCCGTTAAGGGCAGTTTTTGTTTGCATCTCCAAAGAAAGGCTATATTGAAATTTCTGTAAGACAATGGATGTTTTATTATAAATATGAAAGTCTCCTTCACCGCACACTATGCAGTCTCCTTTACTGCATAGTGTGCGGTAATGTGCTACTTTTCACTTGAAAATAAGTCAGGTAAAGTGCACTTTACCGCACACTCATATGTAGGTAAAAATTCTAACAACGGTTTGAATGGAAATTTCGCATTTCTGATTTGGTAACAAGCGTATGAATATCAGTTTTAGCCAATGAGAGGTATTTTATCAATTTTTTTCTCTTTCAAGATCACTATAATTTGAAGAAGTTGTGCCTGTGAAATCAAAATTTATGCCTGAAAAAATGGACCTCGTATTTAAAGAGTACGATTTTGTTTGGGCAAAATTCATGAGTAAGTTTTGATAATTTAAACTTCCATTTTTGTATAGTTTCTGTTTTTTTTTTTGCTTAGACTTCAACCACTGGCCCGCAATCATTATCAAACCGGACCAGAATGTTATAGAAAAAGTATCAAAAGATTCCCAATGGGTATACTTTTTGGAAGATCATAACTATGCATGGGTTCCTGAGAAGAACATCAAACCTTACGAAGAATTCAGAGCGCGTTTTAAAAATAAAAAGGTGGAGAAGGCGATGAACGAAATGGAAGGTTACATAAGTATGTATAAACTATAGTCTTGAAAAAAAAAAAAAAATAATTTAATTTATTTTTTTTAAGGAGAAAAAGCTCTAGATCCTAACTATAAGATACCAATTTCAAAATTTGTGGGCAAAAAATCAGCCTCAGCTAAAAAAAATACTCAAGTAAATCGTAAAAGGGGTAGAAAAAGTTTAACAAGTGATAATGAAGAGGCTTCTGCTCCACCTGCAAAAACAAGGTAAGTTTACTAATGATCTATTACATTTTATTGTACATGACATGACTGCGACCTTTAAAACGTATCTATGCATTCTTCCACTTTTCAATTCCTACATAATATCTCTTAATTTTCAGATATTATGCTGATTCAGACAGTGATACTTCACAAACGGATGATAGTCAAGAAGATGCTAACACTTCGGATGGTTCGGGTTACATTGGATTTTTTGTTGGCCACATTAATGCAGAATATTTCCTAGCGGTAATACACTTGCCAATAGATTCATTAACTAATAATTTAGCTATTTAAATTGAACAAATTTTATTAATATTTCAGAAACTGATTAATGCTAACATCAAGATAAATGTGTGGTTTGAAAATAAAAAGTGGGCCGAAGAATTGGAATATTTACAGGATTATGCTAAAGGAAAAGAGGTCTTTTACAGAGTCTGTAGCACTCCACAGCTTGCCGTAAGTTGTATTTCAAGATAATTGAAAAAAAAAACACAAATTTATTCAAAATCGCTTTTCAGATTGCTAATAGTAAAGCTACCTTTAGCTGTTTATCAAATCCAGAGCAAGCCAAGAGTGTGGTAAACGAATTGATGATTGCCGACAAAAATCATGGATTCTTGAAAGGTAGAGCATACATTGAGATGACATCAATAGTTAGTGATCTGTCCAAAGAGATCTGTTCTCTTATCAGGGGAAGAGAAGGGTTATATCTGGAGGCCATGGTAAGAGAATCAACAACTTTGTATCATTATTATAAAATTGTTTAATTTTAGATACAGGGTAACAGAGACACAAGCATTCAAATTCTTGCAGCTGGGACGTTGAGTGTCTTTGAGTTTTGCAAACCTTGTTTTCGAGTTATGGGAGAGGTAAATTTATTTGTTCCTACATATTTCACAAACCGAAAATACTCAGTTGTCATTTCTGCTAGAAAACATTTCTAATTTCAAATAAGCCTTATTAATGTAATGAAACTTTTTGTACACAGCCAAATAACTTGGGGGAAGAAGTAGGCCTGGCTACTGACTTCCATATGGCATTCCAGATGCTGAGAGGAAACTTGTTGGTTTCAATGACTGAAGGGTTGGCATTGGCAAATCAAACTGGTTATTCTCTTAAACAAATGAGGAGCGTGTTTCAAATGACAAACATTTCGTGTGACTATTTCGATAGTAAGTATAACCTGGCAGTAAAATATCATGGATATTTATTATGATCTGGAAATAATAAAACTTTTTTTATCAGGCAAAATAACATCAATGATCGAAAAAAGTTATGATCAAGTAAACGAACCGGTGCAAAACTTGCAGAAAGATTTTTCCCAGAGCTTACGAGTTTTCGATAAGCTGCTGCATCCCACTCCTCTAACCGCTAACGCTAATGAAATTATGAAACAGACCTGTAACTGGGGTTACGGCGAATTAGATACATCGACGATTTATCAAATATTAAGATATTAATTGTATTGTATAATGAAAATTGTGCAAGTTCTCTCTAAGCATAGAACCTTTTATGGTCAGATTAGTGGATAATGTTGAAATGTAACAACTGTGATGGATTTGTATAGCATTCCATTATACAATATGAAAAAGTACTATTTTAAGAATAAAAATTTTGCCTGCGAAATTCAACTCTGATGTAAGTGTGTGTTATATTTAAATTCTTGTCCTGGAAGGAACTTTATTGTGTTTTTGATGATAAATACATCCTGAATTAGTATATAGAGTTTGTCTCACTTTTATTCAGATTTTAAACTTATTTTTAAGTTATATACAGATACTTGTATAGAGATTGTAGTGTAACAACCAAATGGTTTTGACCTGTAATAGAGAAAGAAATATTAGTTAAGGTTTGGGTCATCATGTTTTAAAAATGTCTTACCTTAAGATTATTTAAGGTAAGAATTATTTCTCTTCCTTCTGAATTAGTAAACCACCAAATTTTCAGAAAATTCATAGGTATATGCAGTTCTTCACATATTGATAGTCGATAGTGGCTCACCATGTCGTCAAGTAAAACAGGTCTAGCAAGTCAGCATCTTACTACAGGCCAATTTTAATGCAATAGAATGTAATGTCTAGAAAGAGTCCAAAGTTGAATAGAGAACAAAAACGATTTCCCCTGTTCCACCTCCAGCATGGAACACTGGGAATGCTGGAGGTGGAATAGGGGAAATCGTTTTCCTTCTCTATTTAAAGGTACGGTTTGTTAGGATAGTACGCGACGCACAACTGACAACGTAAACGTCGTCATTGGTTCAGGTATAACGTACACCCGTGTTTTGACTTTAGCGTTAGAAAACGAGTGTACGTCATACCTGAACCAATGATGACGTTTACGTTGTCAGTTGTGCGTCGTGTACTATCCTAACAAACCGCACCTTAAGCTTAGATTTTTTTTTTATTTGGAATTTTTCTGACATCTTCATGTCACTTTTTTCGGGGAAAACATGGACAAAATGACACCTATCAAATTTTTTAATAGATCCAAAAAATTTTAAACATTTTTTTACATACCTATCACATAAATTATTTGAGAAATTAAAAGAAAAAAATTTGACAGGTGTGAAATGTCAAAATCGATTTTGACACATTAGGACGTCAGTTGTCGAACGCACTTTATCTCGAATTTTTCTGACATCTCCTTGTCACTTTTTTCGGGGAAAACATAGACAAAATGACACCTGTCAGATTTTTTGACAGGTCCAAAAAAATTTAAAAAATTTTTTACATACCTATAACATAAATTATTCGAGAAATTAAAATAAAAAATTTGACTGGTGTCAAATGTCAAAATTGATTTTGACAGATTAGGACGTCAGCTATCAAACGCACTTTATCTCGAATTTTTCTGACATTTCCTTGTCACTTTTTTCTGGGTAAACATAGACAAAATGACACCTGTCAAAATTTTTGACAGGTGCAAAAGTCTTAGAATTTTTTTTACAGATGGCTCTGTCAATGTATAAGTCATGACAGATAGAATTTTTTTTACAGATGGCTCTGTCAATGTATAAGCACAGCATATACAAAAACAATCAGCAGGCTAACTTGAGTGACAGCCCGTGTAATAAAGGAATTCATGGTCGGGATGTCGCTTGCGGCCATTTTGGGATACGAGACAGGGCATGATTAACAATAATTTAGGTTTTTTCTTTTGTGTCACAGAGTCGTATTCGCTTTAAATAAACTAATTTATTATTACTTACATATAATAATATTTATAATTAGTAATTTATTATTATTATTAAATATACAACAATGATAACAGATAACACCATAATTGACAACACGAATATACTAAAATCACTTTGAAAATCATAACTAAAATTCCGTTCTACACCGCACGCCTATGACCTCTGTCAGAAATAAGCAAATAAAATAAAATTTCGGCGTCCCTGCCGTTTAATGACAGGATAGTATCCCCTAATGGCGGCGTGCGCAGAAAAGATGTGCGTGAGAGTTAGCCTGCTGATTGTTTTTGTATATGCTGTGGTATAAGCGTTGATTGTATAAGTCATGACAGGTACCGGTTAGGCTGCGCCATAGAGAAATATAATAAACCAAGGTAAGAGTACCTGATTGATAACATGAAAGTTTGTATAGCGCTGACGTCACAGCGACGGTGGCGTCAATAGTGGCAGCCGGAACAAATACTGAAATGGCGAGAATTTTGAAATTTGACTTGAGTTGATTGCACAAAAAACTTACTTATGTTGTTCCACATCTTTTTTTCTCAAATCCGAATGAGAAAAATGATGTGGTACTCCATAAAGTTTGGTGCCATTTTTTGATGTAGATTAAAAAAAAAGGAAAAATAAACACTAAATTGTACTAGAAAAAATAGGGTCTTCAAAAAAAAAACCAATCGAAGATTGCTTTGGTTACGAAAACGTACGTCGCATTATTGTTTGTTTATTGGTCAGGATTTTTGACATGACATTTTGACAATAAATTTCATTGACTGACATTGTCAAAATTAAAGAAAAATATTACTAATACGTACGTTCAAAAAACCATAGCAATCTTTGTTTTTTTTTTTTGAAGACCCGATATATATTATAGCTAGATAGGTCAAATACCTAAAGAGTTTACAAACACAGTTATTACATCCCTTATACATGCTTTAATGTATGTACAAGCTAAGCTGGCCAAGGCCTGACATCTACATTTTATCTCTTCTGACCGAGGTCTCCTAAAACAGTACAAAAATATGCCGTATTGAACGTATATCACAAAACTAACATGTATACTTACTGGTTCAATTTATCCTAGTTGTACATATATTATAGGTCTGCAATACCAAGTGCCTTAATAAAAATGTCAATTTCTTCTTCTTGTTCTTTAGATTTTGTGAGTTCGAGTCTTAGACGACCGCCCAATCGGTTAAAAATGACAAATTTCAACACGGAAATGTCGTTATTTTAAGGTTACTTATTTGTTTTCTCGGTCACAGTTTCTATAGTTATGGATGTTTGATAGGTTTCTACAAAACAGCTCGGAAAGCTCTGTAACTCATACGGTGTCCTTGTCTTGTGAATTGGTATGACAGAGAAAGATGAAACAGAATCGAATGATCGGACTGATCTTTCGTAAGTCTCTAGCTTTCCAAAAATTCCGCAATGCGCTATGCGCAACCGGATGCGCAGTAATAGTATAACCTATTTCGGCTATACTTTTGAAGGTCTTTTTATTTTTTATTGTCTATAGGCTGCGCTATTCCGCTATTAGTGGGTGTACAGGGTGGCCCAAATTCGAGCCTCATCATTTGGATCTCGGTAACCGTAAGAGATACGGGGTCGGTTAAATTATGGCAAAGTTGCGCAATTTTATGACCAATAGAATGTCGTTTTGAAACCAGAAAAATTCCGAATACTTCCGGAGATATTCGGAAAAAACCGAAATTTTGTAAAATCGTTTTTATTTTTTCCCGGGCTTATTTGAAAAGCAATTTCAAAATAAATGTCACTTCATCATTGTCACTTTTTCCTCTTTAGAAGATGGTGCTACTAAATTTAAAATTCGACGTTTCGTCTTCAGACGCCCATCCTCGACTCCCGTTTTTTAAATACGGACCTAGATTTTTTATTTGCGATTTTATCATCTTTGGTCATCCTAAAAACGATACTGTTTATAATTTTTCAATAACACGGTAAAAAAAGCAGGTCCGTATTTAAAAAAAATAAATTGATGATGATTCCAGAAGAACGAAACGTTGGATTTCAAATTTAATACCGCCATTTTGTAGAGAAGAAAAAGTGACAACGGGAATGTGAAATTAGTTTTTCAAAATCTTTTTAAATGGAATCAGGAAAAAAATTCAGAAAAACGAGAAATTCATATTTTTTCGTATAGTTCTCATTTTTTCCTGATTTTATTTAAAAAAATTGTGAAAAACTAATTTTTTCTACGAGCGTGCGGGAAATGGCTCTTCCCGCACGATTTGCTGTGCGGGAAGACTTTCTTCCCGCATCGGTGCGGGAAGAGATTCCTTCCCGCACACAGTGCGGGAAGAGTTTGAAATAATCATTGTGACATGGAATTGTTTGTATTGTTGATACACCTATACCTGTACCTTTACCTTTTTATAAATACCTTTCAATACATTTTTAATTCTACGTTCTGCATAATCGCATTTTATTTAAATTAAACTCTTTGTAACATCAGCTTTAGTATGCTCGTAGAAAAAATATAGTTCCTAACTCTTGCGGGAAGAAATTTCCGCACTCGTTAGGAAAATAGCTATTTCCTACAGCCGTGCGGAAAAATCGATTTTCCGCACTGAGATGCGTGCAGAAAATGAGTTTTCCCGCACGGTGCGGTAAAACTTTTTTTTTTGACATATCAGTGCGGAAAAAGTTTTTCCGCACGGCTGTCAGTGCGGAAAAAATTTTACCGCACTGATATGTCAAAAAAAAATTTTTACATATTTTCGCCTGTAGGAAAAATATTGTACCTAACACTTGCGGAAAATATTTTTCCGCACTAGGCTGCATCACCGAACTCGCTACGCGTCGTTCGGTGAGAAAAATTCATTTTCCGCACTTGTTAGGTAAATAGCTATTACATTCCCATTGTCACTTTTTCTTCTCTACAAGATAGCGGTATTAAATTTGAAATCCAACATTTCGTTCCTCACCGGAATCATCATCAATTTATTTTTTTTAAATACGGACCTGCTTTTTTTACCGTGTTAATTGAAAAATTATAAACAGTATCGGTTTTAGGATGCCCAAAGATGACAAAATCGCAAATAAAAAATCTAGGTTCGTATTTAAAAAACGTGAGTTGAGGATGGCCGCCTGAAGACGAAACGTCGAATTTTAAATTTAGTAGCACCTTCTTCTAAAGAGGAAAAAGTGACAATGATGAAGTGACATTTATTTTGAAATTGCTTTTCAAATAAGCCCGGGAAAAAATAAAAACGATTTTACAAAATTTCGGTTTTTTCCGAATATCTCCGGAAGTACCTATTTGGAATTTTTCTGGTTTCAAAACGACATTCTATTGGTCATAAAATTGCGCAACTTTGCCATAATTTAACCGACCCCGTATCTCTTACGCTTACCGAGATCCCAATGATGAGGCTCGAATTTGGGCCACCCTGTACATTGAATACTTCCAAAAGAAAATGTTTTTACTCCCTTGGTATGTAAATGTTATTTTTACTTTAAGTTTCCCTTCATGGGCGTCGTTTGGTGGGGGGCATTTGCCCCCCCCCCCCCTAGAAATAATCTTTTGAACAAGAAAGCAGTAAAAGAGAGTTCGTATTGTTTTTCTCAATTTTTTCAAAATTGTTAGGTATAGACTCGTCGAAAACTCGTGCTAGTGTGAATACACGCTTCTGTGAACCTCTCAGTAGTGTGAACAGCTAGAATGAATACATTATACATATTCTGTAGTGTGAACTTTTCAGAATATCGGTAGTATGAACAATGTATTTGACTACGAATTTAACCATTTTCTGCCTACTTGTTGTTTTCATCGATTGTTTCTATCCAATTATGGGGTTCCCCGAAGGTTTTGAGACAAGGAATGCACAGATATGTTGAGTTACTGCATTAACTCTAATGTGGAATACGCAAGTGGCAGCGCTACAAGAGCACATTCAAAATTCTATAAATCTTCAGTTCGTTGTTTGTTGTGGTTAATCAGTTTTGTAAAATGGCGAAAAACACAATTTTTTCAACTCTCTATGGGTCTGTTCTCACAAGAGTCTCAGACAGTTTGCAAACTGTCAGAATGCATCGCCCCTGCATGTTTTCAATGCCGTCATTCCAAGATAACTCAGTAACTTAGCTGAGCGATTGTTACTGACAGTTTGCAAACTGTCAGAGACCTTATGAGAAGTCAAAAATTCTAGAAGATTGCCAGCAAGGCAATAGCATATATTCGCGATAATGACACAGAAAGCCTAAAAAAACTTTAAGACAAAGTAGATAGCCATCCAATGCTCAGATAGAACCATTTAGACAAAAATTATATCTCACTTTAATCAATAAACTGGGAAAATTTACTTAATGGATAGGTTTGCAACTACCTATGGTATTAATTTTTCTTGAATTTTGAGTTTAGAGACCATTGCTGACAATATTTTGCATTTTTAGGTAGATCTTCGATGGTGTGAACTTCTCGATAATATGAACACGTCCGGTTTTTTTGTGTTCACACTAGCGCGAGTCTACAGTACTTTGAAAAATTGGCTGATATTTTCATTACATTCAACGGAATTGAATTTCACTTGACTTAGGGCCGGTATTATAAAACACTGAACCGATGGTAGAGTTTCAAGTTTCAACCTTCGGTTGAATCCTATCAATTTGCATAAAACTCAATCATCGATTCAGTGCTTTATAATACCGGCCATTGGAAAATTACCTAAACAAATGATGCGGACAGTGAATTTGTTGTGGAAAAAAATACCATCATTTTTAACAAATATCGATATCAAATAAGTACGTTAAAATGCTCAAAAAGGGGCGTGGCACCAAAAAAATTAGCCTACAACGGTTGCCTGCGGCGTTAATGGAAATGGTCTTATAATAATACTGCCCCCCCCTGTGAAACCTCGTAAGGACGCCCATGTTTCCCTTTAAGTGTTGCGTTTGTTGGGAAATAATGGCCGTTTCCACCAACTATTTTAGTGAAGCCCTAACGATAAGTATTCCCTAAACTGACAGTTTTCCATGGAGAAATGTCAGTTTAGGGAATACCTACTTATCGTTAAGGCTTCCCTAAAATAGTTGGTGGAAACAGCCATAAATAACTTAATTAAGGCCCGGTTTATTCATCTTCAGATAAACTTGCTGGTAATTATCTGCAAGATAAAGGATAACGCACACCTAACATGGGATTTTTGGGCTCTATGGTTTTTTCCCATTTTTTGATATGTTGTAGAGTAGAGGATTTAATTCTGAACAACCTTTAAAGGGGACGAAATATTGTAGGTATTACGGCCTTTGAGTTATGAGCGTTGAAAAATTAACTTTTTTGCGGCTTTTTGTGTGGAGAGTATACGAGATACTGGTGTTTATCAGCGTTGCCACCTCACGAAAATTAAATGTAATAGATTGAAGCCAAAATTGTAATAGATTTGACAACGGTAATAGATTCTTTCATCTGTCACTTCTTTCAGTTATGCATGAGAGATAACCAAAATATTGAATAGGCGCTCCACCATTATGCGCCGTATTTATTTTTATGCTGTGTTTTTATGCTCAATTTACTCATTTGCGTTAGTTTTTGTTGCCATAAATTAGATCCTATATAGGTATAGGATTATTTATTCTTTAGTCATAGAATCACTTAGTTCAGAATCAGTTCTGAATTGAACTGCGCTCTCGCATTTGTTCATACCGAACATGAATAAACAAATGCGCATGCGCAGCTCAATTCAGAACTGATTCTGAACTGAGTCCGAACAAACCTATTATGAAACTGAAAGTGAAGTATTTTCATTCAGCGGTTTTCAGTTTTCACGCACAAAGGACACAACATTGACAAAAGATGTTTTTTTAAAGTGTTCTGCGTCGTTTGATGTGATAATTTATGATGCCTGTAAAATTTTTCAATTGCTTATTCACCAAATAGTATATTGTTGTATTAGGAGTAGAAGTCTTACTTTTTTGAGCTGAAGCAGTAGGTTTGCGAGCCGAACGTAGTGAGGCTTGCAATACTGCTGAAGCACAAAAAAGTGCTTCTACTCCGTATGCAACACGCTATTTTTTCCCCAAACGAATGGGGTAAGCTCAGGGGTAACTGATTGGTTAAACGGCAGTAAAAGTACGAGCGGCACTAAAAGTACTTTTGCTGCCGCTCCAGCGGCACTAAAAGTACTTCTACTGCCGCTGCGGTTGCCTAGCAGCATAGAAATTAAATTTCTACCACCTCGACAGGTGTTAACCCGCTGAACTTGCCTACCAGCATAGAAATTAAATTTCTAACATCTCGACAGGTGCTGACAAACATGTTCGGGTTAAAAATGGAGCATTACTCTCGGCGAGATTCGCGTGTTCGATTTGAGCAATAGAACACTCTCAAATCTCGCACGGAGCACTCTTTCTTGTTCCGTCAAATTCGATGGATCAAAGAGTTTGATCAGAACAATAAAAAGTCTGTTCTCACTTCTCACAGAAATCATAAACCTATTAAAAGCTCTTAAATAGCAGATTCTAGCAGATCTTTCTGATTTTTCGAGCAGCTAGAGCAAGTACAAAGAACACCCTTGCTTATATTGTGATTTGTGATACGCTTTCATGCTCCAGAGACAGAGTATAAAACTGCCGAACGTCTCCTTGTACGTCATCCATGATTTTTCCTTGAAACTTTTTTTTTATCAATTAGGCAATTCAAACCACGTGACTTTCAAGATGACGTGGCGGTCACACATGGGTCAAAAAACACAAAAAAAATATCTAGATTCTGCCCGATATATTAGTTTAGGTACCTAGTCAACAAATATTTTATTAAATAATCCAAATCAGAGTTGCAAGCAAAACTCTAAGCAAAATAATTTCAAATACGCATAAAAACACATTCAAAACAAACTTGCTTGGCCGCCACGCCATATTGAATTTTCCTATCTGACAGATGGATTGAATTGCCTAATAGTGCAACTGCACTCGGTGGTGGAAAATGGTTGCACTTCCTGCGCTATTTAGAGTTGATATAAAAGTGTAGCACTTTTCGCACTGACCATCATTTAGGGGATGCAGTGTATGTGAAAAAAAATTCCCGAATAGCCTATGTACAGTGCTGCCAGACTAGGACTTTTATGTCTGGTTTTAGGAATTTTTAACTTTAACCTCATTTTTTCTATTTTTCCTTCTCTGCATAAACAAACTTTCTAGTTGTTGGTTTAACTATTTTATGTATGATTGTTTGAAGCTCATTGGTTTACACCGGCAGTTATTATTGTTGTTATATCTAAAAATGAGAGTTCGACCAGAACATTGGGCTCTCTTACTACAGATGTGCGAAAAGAACCCTGAAATAATAACAGACAAATTCAAAGGCCCTGGGAAAGCAAAAGTTCATGCTGTATGGGAACAAGTGACACAGGAATTGAATGGTTTAGGATTCGGGAAGAAATCGGCATACCATTGGAGAAAGGTAGGACAAATATATCATTTTCATAACAATATTATGCTTGATTTTCATTTACAGACATTAATAGATTGGAAATGTAAAACAAAAAATAAGGCTGGAGGAATAAATAGAAAACGAAAAGTAAATGATGATAAAACAGTCCATTATGTGTCTGTGCCTCTTTCTGAATATGAAAAGAAACTTCTTAGTCTTATGGGAACAACCTCCAATGGAAATGATGTACAAAAAATGGGATTTAAAAAAGTAAGTACTTGGTTGCAAAACAAAGTCTTTTTAACTTTAAATATACCTTAAGTATAAAACACTTTGTTTACAAAAAAACAAACTCTATACTTGAATCAATTTGTTTTAGATTAACCAGTCCTGGGAAGAGGAAGAAGAGCACCTTACACTGATTGTACATAGTGACGACTCTTCTGAGCTTCCACCTAGTATTGAAGAATCCTTTGATGTACGAGATCGAAAACCTAATGAACATGACTATAATGCACTCACATACCCAACTAGTGCAGAAGATGACTACTGCAAAGTCAAAATATCTTCTGATGTCATAAAACCATCAACTGATGACCATAACTATAACAGGCCCACCTGCTCAACTGGTATAAAAAGACCACCAAAACGCCAAAAAGTTAGACCGCGCCAAGGAGTTAAGGTTTCAAATAGGCTCACTGTCCTTTCTCAGAAGACACTGCAAACATTGAAAAATATAGACAAAAATACTCAGTCTATTGCAGAAAGCCTTAAAGTCATAGCTGATGCTATTAAGGCACCTGTACAATAATTTGTTACTTTTTGTATATAGTGTAATGTGTAATCTTCCACACTCAGGATTCTGTTGATTTTGTCATCTTATTGGAGGTTTTCTGCTAATGGAGAGTGCTAACAAAACCACTAGAAAATGAGCACAAAATATGTATTTTTATATTATATGTATTTGTCTTGTATAGGTACTAAGGAATAACAAAATTATTCCAGAAACAATAGTAGCTGTTCTTAGGAATTTGTCTATAGAAAGTACTTAGGACTGGCGAAAATTTTCCAAGGCTGGCAACACTGCTTAGAGGTTATTTAGGGATTTGTACTTTTTTGACATACACTACATCACACCACTTAAAACCAAAATCTTTTTCTCTTTTGATACTTTTTAATATGAGCCATTTTCTCGCGTCCACTTTTTTGACATTGGTTCAAAACAGTTTTGGAAAAAGTGGTCGGGAGAAAACGGCTATGGTGTCTTTATACTCCCGACTCCTTCAGATCTTACCTTTTCTGCACAGGACCACACTACACGCACTCGACACAAACAATTTGTGCAACCGATAAATGAGATTTTCATTTGTGGCTAGTCTAGTTCGGCTTTCCACTCTGAGCGCCCTCGAAACGATAAGATCCTGTTTGTTTTAGCTGTCAAAGTGTTCTCTTTTGCGTTGGGCTTATGACCGCGTATGACGTCACGATATCATCGATGCTCATACCGTTCCGCTCCGTGGAGTACAAAGCCGAACTCAGCCTGCATCTGCTAGAGCTACTCCGAGCAGCTTTTCTCAGAACAGAAAAAGGGAGCAACGGTTCTCCTTGTCATGAAATCAAACAGTGCAAGTGCAAAGAAGATGAAATCCTAAAATTAAATACAGTTTGCTACTAACCAGTTTCCAAACAAAGAACAATAATAAACAAACAATACATTTCTCTAGAGGTTCCTGTGATAGGTTTATTCATGAATGTTTTTTCTTTAATCCTTATCTTGTTTGACAATAATCAATTATTCTTCAGTTCAAATAAATAAATTTAAATAAATGGACGCGGACAGCAACGGAATGCAAAGTTCCAGCTTATCATTGGACACTGATCAACAGCCCGGCAACAAAAAACGTAACAGGGCCCCAAATTACACCGACAAGGAAATACGAACACTGATCCGGCTAATCTTTACCCATCTGGATGTGGTAGAAAACAAGAAAACCGACTCGGAAACTTGGAGGATAAAATGCTTGGTCTGGAACAGTATTATGGAAGATTTCAACCGATCAGGTAAGTTGACTGCAATTTAAAGGCTTTCCTCCTGTACTACAATCTACAAAAGATTTAGGTTCAGTCAAAAGAACAGCCGAAATGCTCAGGCAAAAATATGACAGCATAAAAAAGTGGGCTAGGAAAAAGGAAGCTAAAAACAGGGAAGAAGAAAGCAAACCCAAGCCAGACTATGTTCATATGGAAGACTACGAAAAAGAACTTCTTCATGTTCTTGAAACGCATGGAGGTAATTCGGGACAACCCTGTGAGAGTACAACTACTGTTCATCCACCTCTTAATAGTGTCAAATTTGAAAACGGATGTAGCTCTCTATCAGCAAATGACGATAGCAATAATGATTTTCAAGAAGAAAGATTTATTGTCACTGATGAAGATATGCTGTGGGATTTACCTGCAGATACTACTTATCGGCCCAGGCTTAATTTAGTAAAAAAACAATTAGAACATTTAGGTAATAACACATATGTATTAAATCATTATTTTTACCAATAATTTCTTTTAGAAAGAGAAGAGCAAAGGCAACTAACTGAACATCATTATAGAATGAGAACTGAGGAAATCAAGAGAAAGATATATTTAAATAAAGGAAGAAGAGCAAGGATTGAACACAGGAAGAAAATGGAAATATTAGAGCTTGAAATTGAGTTAAAGAAAAAGGCTCTGATGAGCTTTGAACAACAGCCTTTAAATAGTTAATATTTTATTTCAACTACTGATAAGACTCCTTAGATAAGAGCGTTAGGTCTTTTTTTATTAAAATTATTTATTATTCCTCACAGTTTTTTAATTTTTATCGGTAATTTCTCATTTGAATAATTTTGTTTGAAAACTGTCAGCCTTCAACAACGTTGCCAAATTTCATTGAACAACTGTTCATCATGGATATTTTTGACACACAGGGGCGAGTTCAGGAATGACACACTCAATAGATGTATTCCTTTCACACCTAGGAGGAGCTCCGGGGCTTCACGCGCTTATCCTACGTACCACGCATCTGTTCCCTGCAAAGTTTCAGTCACACCTATAAAATTGCTCTCACACCCGGTGTGTTATTTCTGAACTCGCCCCAGGGAACGGAAAACGGGAAAACTATGGCACTTTCCAAAACTCACCTGTTTCTGAAGCGGTGCGATACCGGTTTAACAGTTTTCTCACCAAACCAATGCAAAATGTACCGACTTTTTACCAGGTGTACCGTGTACCAGATCGATCGTTCCAAAATTGACCGGAATGATCAGTTGTTCAAAACCGGTAAGGCACCGGATCCACTGGGAATTTTTTTCAGTTGAAGATTTTTTGACAGTTTTGTCCGACGTAGGAAAGTGCTCTTATGGCCGTTTGCACTGTAAGGGAGCCTTAGCGATAAGTATTCCTTAAAGTGACATTTCTCCATGTAAAAATGTCATGTTAAGGGAGACTTAACGCTAAGGCTTCCTTAAAATGGTCGGTGCAAATGGCCACTAATCGTGTGAAAAAAAGCACTCCACTCACGCGCATTATACCCTTTACACCCGAACGCTCACTTTACTCAATTCTCAATTGAATTTGACAATGGGACGATGAAAAATGTAGGTACTTTAGAGGCAAGGATGATACACAACACACTACTACTACAGGATGGCCTATCCTCATAAGGCCTGTGTGTAACAAATCCCTACCACCCACAGCCAAACAACCAGTTGTGACGTAAGCAGCATGGAGTTTCTCGCCTTGACGTAGGCTGTTTAAACAGCTGACGACTTAGTTATGACGTCGGCGATGGTTGAAAACATTTGAAAACCAATATGGCGGCAAATACCAAAAACGAGGCCGATAAGCACTCCTTAAGCCTAGTCTCCATAGACGCGAAATCGCGGAAAGCGAATTTTTTAAGTGTCATTTTTTGGTGGCTATTTCCGAGCAAATTATTCCCATGTCTCCATAAGCGCGAAATTCGCGTTTTATTTAACAGGTTAAGGTTACCTATGTGTTGTTGTTTGTAATCAATTTGAATTCGATTTAAATGCTTTGAATTTCAAACACTAATCTTTGAAAACCATGAAAGTGATTACTAAAAAACAAAAAAAGAAAATATGTGTCTTGGTGTTGTCTTAATTACATTTAAGGCCCTATTATAATCTTCCTCATCAGCCAGCAAGCTGTAATTTATGTCTGTTTTCGGGTCTACAATATTCAATTCTTTGGCAGTATCCATTCTTTATTAGGTATCTACAAGTACAAAACACATCAACGACTCACAGAGAACAGAGCACATACCGACAAAAACATAAACAAAACTAAACTGAAAGTGACACCACATAACCGCATTTTTTTTTGGCGAAATTTCGCGGAAAGTTAAAAAATAGTTAACTTTTTTGCGACGCCGCAAGAAGTTAAAAAATTCGCGAATTTTTCCCGCCATAAAAAAATCAAATGTTAAATGTCAAATTCCAACCAATCGGAAAATATCCGCAAAAAAAAATTCGCGATTTCGCGTCCATGGAGACTAGGCTTTAGAGTGTGTATTCTCTTTGCTTCAGAGGGACTATAGGAAGAGGAAAATGAGAATAGTTCCGGAGCGAGAAATTTGCGCAGACGAACGGGCCAAAGCGCGGACGAAGTACTTCGGAGTAACTCTGGAGTGCTCAAACTGTTGCACCCGCAAGCAGCTCTGTTCATTAGTGTTACCAATTAGTTTAATTAGAGCATGTAATTACGCAATTTGCGTGTATTTTCTGAACATAAACAAAAAGCGTGAATTTTGCGTGTAATTTTAAAAATATGATATTCTCTTTATTTTTGTTGATGCCACGGCCAATTGTGACATGAATAGGACTTGACTTCTTCTCTTGCTCCACTGGCGTAGCCAGGATTTTGTCTTGGCAAATCTGCAGGAAGTGTTTCTTGTTGGCCCACTCCGACCGAGCACTGCCCTTTTTTGTGTCTTTTTACGGTATTTTTGGGACTGTTTATTTAAATTACGTGACCAACGAGCAAACAGAGCAGTTGAACGCTGTATCAAAGTGCTCGAAATTTCGATAAACGAACGCATATGAGCCTGCACCGAGTACATTTTTTAAATAAACGGACGGTAAATTCAAGCTCGGAGAACTCAGATCAAAATACCGAACGCACGGTATGTCTGCCAAATGGTCTATCAAGTGACTACCCTTATGGCCAAGGATAATAATACACACTACTAAGGATTGCTTTTGGCCTCGTTTTTGGTAATCGCGGTCATATGGTGTAGCACCATTGTCGACGCCATTAACTAAGTCGTCAGCTGTTTGCGCCAGCGGTCGAGGTTAAGAATTTAAATTTATGATGAAAAATAATATTTAATTTTGATCAACATAATAGGCGAAGAGGAAGATGCAAACGAGACATGAAAAAGAGTAGTTTTAAGAATGTTAATTAATGTAGTAAAACCAAGTTTGCATAAAGTTTATGCCAACTTGATTTTACTACATTATAATTAACATGCCATAAAGCAAAAGCCCGCGAAATCATAACCTATGGTGCAAACATCCTACATCAATACGAGAAACGACACGCTGCCTATGTCATCACTGGTGCTTTCGCATGGCGGGGGGGCTTGAGATTTGAACTACACAGGCTTTATGAGGATAGGCTATCCTGTAGTAGAAGTGAGTATTAACCATGCAGGAAACTAAGGTCCAAAACTCAAAAGGAATCACTTTTCCAAAAACCAAAGTAATAAGTAACTTGATTACTTTTGGACCGCTTTTCTGTCGTTTAACCCATTTCCCAAAATCATAAATCTCAACAAAAAAAATTATAGTTTGCTTCTTGATATAAGGTCTGTTTCTGCAGAAATCACAAACTAGTCATAGCGAATTTAATTGGTTGAAAACAGTCAGAAACAGTCAGAAAACTAATTTCAACCAATGAAATTCTCTCTGACTGGTTTGTGATTTCTGCAGAAACAGACCTGTTATAAAATAGCAAAGAAAATGCACACCATTGTACAGGATTGCTTATCGGCCTCGTTTTTAGGAATCGCCAACCATATTGTGTAGCACCATTGATAACGTCATCAACTCAGCTGTTTGCGCCAGTGGTCGTAGTTTAGAATATACATTTATGAAAAAAAATATTACATAAATTTTAATTACCAAAGCAAAAAGAAAGATGCAATCGCAAGTTATATCTGAAAAAGCGTTGTTTTAGAATGTTAATTGATGTATTAAAATTAAAACCACGTTAGCATAAAGCAGAAGCTATGTCAAGGTGAGAAACGAAACGACACGTTGCCTACGCCATCACTGGTTCTTTGGCGAGGTGGGGGCTTGACACCTGATCTACACAGGGCTTATGAGGATAAGCTATCCTGTAGTAGCAGTGTGTATTATCCTTGACATAATAGGTACCAAAGTCGCTTTCCAGTGACGAATTTTAAGGTGCTTTAAACCCGTAGCTTCACACTCTGATGCTCCAAACAACTGTTGTTTCACTGGAACGCACTTTACTTTAAGAATAGTTCAGTTGCGCGAAACTCTAATGCACTGGAACGCCTCTGAACAGCCCTCTAGGCACTCTAGAGCACCTCAGGAGTGCTTGATGGGCATCACTGGAAAGCGACTCTAAGCTCGTGTGTAAAATCGTGCAATTGTGAGACTGAAAGCGTGTAATTTGACCAGAGCTGCTTTCCAGTATGCACATTAGTTCACAGTTTCACAGCTCCGGGACTTTACGCGATTATTCCTTTCAAAAAATGTTTGTTGCACCTGGAGCGCCCAAGCTCGAATCAAGCCATTTAAATGCACGAAAGCCAGCGCATCTGTTCCTTTCAAATCGGGGTCGACTAACACCGGAGCGAGTAGCTCGAGTGTTCCAAACTCTTGAAAGGAATACAACTATTGGCGTGCTCTAGAGCACTCCGGGAGCGCGACGCACTAGATTTGTACCGTTCCAGTATCATGACGTAAGATGTTTGTCCGTACGTTTAGCTCGGGAGCTCAACGCTCCGAGTAGCTCCGAGTAGCTCCGAGCTTCACACTCCCATACTGGAAAGCGGCTCAGCATATTGTGAAATTTCGCAAATTCAAATTGGCAAAATTGGTTCATTATAGTGTCAGACTGTCAAATCTTGTATATTTATTTACATTTTGATTTGAATTTAAAAAATATATAACAAATTGTACGATAAATGATTTGAACAGAAGTATTTAGCTAGTAATTGTACCTGTTCGAAATGAGTAAAACAAAAAAATTCAAAAAGCGCTACGAAACAGACTCGTCGTCCAGTGTCGACTCAGAAGAAGAGCAGCGCAGAAAAGATCTGAAAGAACGTGATGAATTTGCCGACAGACTCAAGAAACGCGATGGCGAGAAAACTAGAAACATTATTCAAGCCTCAGACAGAAGAGCGTACGAGGAAGCGGCTAAAAGGCTTCAGCTGGAAAGTGCCGCGAGAGAAAAAATCGTTCCCAAGCTCAGAGTTGAATCCAGACGGAAATATCTAGAAAAACGTAAAGATGACAAGTTACAGGAACTGGAAGCCGATATTGTAGACGACGAATATCTATTCGAAGAAGGCATTTTAACAGAACGCGAAAAAAAGGAAAGGCAACACAAAAAAGAACTCCTAAAATTAGCTCAGGAACATGAAAAAGCCAGAGAGTTGGAAAGAGTACAAAGGTATCACATGCCCAGAGATTTGGGCAAAGATTCGACATCAGACTACATTGAAGTGGACGAACTTGAAAAAGTACCACAATCAGAGCAGAAAAAATGGGAAAAAGACCAAATGGCATCAGCCGTTTTCAAATTTGGAGCCAAAGATGCTACAAAAAAAGATGACTACGAATTAGTACTGGAAGACCAAATCGATTTCATTCAAGCCTTGCAAATGCCAGGCTCTAGAGACAAAATAAAAAAAGAACCAGAACTGTCTGAACACGAAAAGAAAAAGTTAACCATTGAGGAAACCAAAAAAAGCTTACCTATATTCCCTTTTAAAGATGACTTAATGCAAGCAGTGCGGGAACATCAAGTGCTTATAATTGAAGGAGAAACTGGCTCTGGTAAAACCACTCAAATTCCTCAATACTTACATGAAGCTGGGTTTACAGAGGATGGAAAAAAAATTGGTTGCACCCAGCCACGTAGGGTAGCAGCTATGTCTGTAGCAGCTCGTGTAGCTCAAGAAATGGGTGTAAAATTAGGCAATGAAGTTGGATACGCTATAAGATTTGAAGACTGCACGTCAGAAAGAACCATAATAAAATACATGACTGATGGTACTTTGCATAGGGAATTCTTATCAGAACCTGATTTGCAGTCCTACAGCGTCATGATTATTGATGAAGCTCACGAAAGGACTTTGCACACAGACATTTTATTCGGACTAGTAAAGGATATTGCCAGGTTTAGGCCTGACTTGAAATTACTAATATCAAGTGCAACATTAGATGCCCAAAAATTCTCGGAATTTTTCGATGAGGCTCCCATTTTTAGAATCCCTGGTAGAAGATTTCCTGTGGATATTTATTACACCAAAGCCCCTGAAGCTGACTATGTAGACGCTTGTGTAATTTCTGTGCTACAAATTCATGTAACCCAACCCTTGGGGGACGTTTTAGTATTTTTAACTGGTCAAGAAGAAATTGAAACTTGCCAAGAGTCACTGCAAGACCGTTTGAGACGTTTGGGCTCCAAAGTAAGGGAACTCATAATATTGCCTGTATATGCTAATTTACCTAGTGATATGCAAGCTAAAATATTTGACCCGACTCCACCTGGAGCCAGAAAAGTAGTATTGGCCACAAATATTGCAGAAACTTCTTTGACAATTGACAACATAATTTACGTAATTGATCCAGGATTTGCAAAGCAAAATCACTTTAACTCCAGAACAAGCATGGAGAGTTTGATGGTGGTACCAATTTCAAAAGCTTCAGCTAATCAGAGAGCTGGTAGAGCTGGCCGAGTGGCTGCAGGAAAGTGTTTTAGATTGTACACTGCGTGGTCTTATAAACATGAATTGGAAGAGAATACAGTGCCAGAAATTCAACGCATTAATTTAGGAAATGCTGTTTTAATGCTTAAAGCTTTAGGCATTAATGACTTGGTGCATTTTGACTTTTTGGACCCGCCCCCTCATGAGACATTAGTGTTAGCTCTTGAGCAACTGTATGCTTTGGGTGCTTTGAATCATCATGGAGAATTAACTAAAATGGGTAGGAGAATGGCTGAATTTCCTGTAGATCCTATGATGGCTAAAATGTTGCTTGCCTCAGAAAAATACAAGTGCTCAGAAGAAGTTGTCACGATCACTGCAATGTTGTCTGTAAATAGCTCAGTGTTTTATAGACCTAAAGACAAAATAATTCATGCAGATACTGCTAGAAAGAATTTCTATCACTTGGCAGGAGACCATTTGAGTTTATTGAATGTCTACAACCAGTGGAAAGATACTGATTATTCTTTACAATGGTGTTATGAGAATTTCATTCAGTATAGATCTATGAAACGAGCTAGAGATGTCAGAGAGCAACTAGTAGGCTTAATGCAAAGAGTCGAAATAGAAATGGTCTCTAATGTATCAGAAACTGTTGATATAAGAAAAGCTATTACAGCAGGATATTTTTATCATATCGCTCGGCTCTCAAAAGGTGGTAGCTACAAAACAGTGAAACACAATCAGAGTGTAACAGTTCATCCCAACAGCGCTCTATTTGAAGAATTGCCAAGATGGATTTTGTATCACGAACTAGTTTTTACTACAAAGGAATTCATGCGGCAAGTAATTGAAATTGAGAGCAAGTGGCTGTTGGAGGTGGCACCGCACTATTATAAACCCAAGGAACTTGAGGATTCTACCAATAAGAAAATGCCAAAAACTGTTGGGAGAAGCACACGAACTGAATAAGTTGATATAAACATGTCATTTTGATATTTAACAAATTTCAAGCCAAATGTATTTTTGTTATTCACTTCTCTATTATTGTTTTATGTAAAGTTTTCCCATAATTAGATTGTGAGTTTAATGGTACATGTATGTATTTTCTTATCCTGGCTCAATTAAACTGAGTTTAAGATTTTATCTTTATCAAGATTCATCGATGATTGAGTCTTCTGTAATTTACTTTTTTGCCACTATAAAGTTAAGCAAACCTCGCACCAGTTTTCAAATAAATCACACTACTAAAATTGCAAGCTGTTTTATTAATAAAACTTAATATAAATACATTAAATATTGCGATAAAAATCCTTTAAAATTAAATGTATAAATAAAATAGGTATGGAGTATAAAATGTCTATGTGCCAATTCTCTTTCCAGGTACCATTTTAGGGACAGCATTAAAACTTTTAGCATTCTCATTGGACCAATCTATGAATTTATCTCCTAATGCTGCAGCACTCATTGCAAGCATTATTACATCGTTTTCAGCTTGATGAGCATTTGAGACTTCCTTATTTGTCAGCCTCTTGTATACATCAGCCAGTTTAAAACTTGTCCTGCAAAAAAATAAATTTAATAAGTGGATTTTGATTGAATTTTTAATTTTACCCAAAATTTAGCTTCTTTCTTGAGGTTGCAACTGTTGCAAGTTTTAATTTTTTTTCTTCCCCTTCACTGCTTTGTTTTTCCATTACCTCATCCAACTTGGAGCAGATTTGGTTACTATTCAATAAACTCTGGACTTTTTTTGGTGTAGTTTCATTAATTTTTTGGATTTCCAACGCCCTCTTGATTCCCTTACTGGGATGTTTCTCATGTTCATCTACAGCTTGGCAAAGTAATTCATCAAAGCCATCTTTAAATTCCAAAGGAACTGAATCAGGCACATCAATTGATTCATTTACAACAGTTTCAGGTTTGCTGTGCAATTCTTGAAAAGCTGGCAATGAATCAATGCATAGTACATCTAGAATATTTATTTAAGTTTAAATTTAAAACCTAGATAATTGACTACTTACCCTCTGACAATTCTTGGCCAGTTTTCTCGATTTCTGTTCTCAAAATAGGATAATCAAACCTGTTTCCATTATGTGCCACAAGACAAACAGGTTTTTTGCAATGGTTCAAAAACTGATTGATCATTTGTACAGTTTCGCTTGTAAATGGAGCAAAGTGCTCAAGTAGTTCATTACTCAAGCCTGTTATTCGCTCACTGCCGTCAGAAACTCTTTTTCTAGGATTAAAACACATGGAAAGTTTGTTTTGCACTCTCGGAATCACTCCCAAAGCCAAATGGCTACTTTGTACGGCCAACAAAGTTAATTCGGTGATTTTTGTTTTGTTGTGCTCTTCGCTAGGCAGGCCTGTTGTTTCCAAATCGATAAATGCGAAGGTTTTAATCAGTTGTTGTTGAGCCATTACGAACGAAATTTTTGGAAAAAGTTTAAAGAGACTTGTGAGCATTTTACATTGTTCTAGGGGTATTTATATGCATTTTCTTATCAAGGTTTATCAATATTTGAAGAGGGAATTCAGATAATTGCAAATTGATGTGTATTTTTTATTTCTAACCTTCTTCGTGGTTATGTTATTTGTTAGTAAACTAAACAAATCAAATTTTGACAGATGTAGGAATAGTGGCAACATCGCTGGAGGTTGATTCAACAAATCACTGTTGTTTACTCTGGTTTTACCCCTTGGGTTTTACCCGCACCTGGTTTACTTGCTGAACTGAATAAAAATAAATTTGATGAATTAGTTTTACGTAGCTATTTTCATTTTATTGAAAATTTAGGCTCAAAAAATTGATAAGATATTTGGCAACGTCGAAAGGTGAATGCGGAATGGTACAAACCGGGGCGTTCTGTATTTTGATCTGGCGTTTATTAAAATTTCGAGCGCTCTGACTCTCAACTGCTCTTTGCGCTAGCTAAGTCGTTTTCCAGTGACCCAATTTAAGCATTCCTAAGCTGCTCTAAAGCGCCCCGGGCTTTTCATAGGCGCTCCAGTGCATTAGAGTTTCGCGCACCGAAACTGTTCGTTTTTCCTCTCCCCTGCCCTCAACAGCAATTTTATGGATGCAAAACACGGCGCTTGAAGTAGGGTGCGTTCCAGTGAAACAACAGTTGTTTGGAGCACCAGAGTCTGAAGCTACAGAAGTGGAGCACCTTAAAATTCGTCACTGAAAAGCGGCTTTGGTCACGTGATTACGCTACGCTTCAGCACGCTATACTCTTTGAGCAAAATACCCAACGCAAGGAGTCGATACTTTTTACACTATTGACACTGTCACGTTCGTTAATTGGTAGGATTAGATCCCGGATAGTGAAAAGATGGTTGGACACCGTCTCGGTACAAAACGATTATGTATTCGCTGTTACACCGTCGATTACACCTTCATCCCGTGATATAACCTTGCACTGGCCTGCACTACACGAACACTACACTGGCATAGCGATAAAATCCCATTTCAAACTCAATCAGGTATAATGGTATAAAATGATTGTGTATTCGATGTAACACCGCTGAGTACACCTCCATCACGTAATGGTTGAGTTCGGGATGGGATTTTAGTGCACTGATAGTGATAGTGCGGTGTTCGTTCAGTGCAGGTTTATATCGCGCGATGAAGTTGTAATCGGCGGTGTTAAGCCTAGTACTCACAAGGTGCGTACGATAAGTCCAACTACTGACACTTTTTACCCTGACCCGTCATTAAAAGTTGAGTTCGGAATGGGATTTTAGTGCAGTGCTATTGCGGTGTTCGTGTAGTGCAGTGTTGTATCAAGGTGTAATCGACGGTGTAACACTAAATACACCATCACTTTGTAACGAGTAAACGGTGTCCCACCATTTGGACACCCAATCATATTTCCAAACGCAAATGAAGTGTACACCAAACTTACTCCTACCAATTAACGAACGCCACAGTGTCAATAGTGTAAAAAGTGTTAACACTTGCTACCATTCCGAACTCACCTAATGTCGCACTTTTTACACCATTCGTACCGTTTAGCGTTCCATTTTATAGATGTGTAAAATAGTTTAGATGGTTGCGTTCCAAAACATAACTGCACCGCACTAACGCTAACCGGTTCAGACAAATCGTACGCACCAATAACCGCGAAAATACCGCTCTTTTTTGACATTGCTTCGACAATTTGACGTTTGATTCACGCATAAAACTTCAAATTGTCGAAATAATGTCAAAAAAGAGCGAATTTCGCTGTTATGAGTACCAGGCTTAACACGGAATACACCTTATTCATCATCATTTTGTACAGAGTAAACGGTGTTCCACCACCTTTACACCATTCGGGCACAAAGGCGTCTTTTTCTGCCAGAACGTTTCGAAACATTCTAAAACGCTACATTTTGGTGTTGCAACGGTGACGTCACATACGGAAACGGTTCAACTAGGTTCGAACCGCTCTCTCAGCCTGTTTCAAAATAGACAAACAGCAAAAATTCTGCGCTTCAAAAATGTTTCGCATTTGAAATATCTTCGAATGAAAAATGAGGTCGATGCTTTACTGACGCTGACTGACCTGCACTACACGAATACCGGAACACTGCACTAAAATCTCATTCCGAACTCAACTTCGGAATGGACCTTTCTCATGCAATGAACAACAAGGATAGTTTATTAAGATTTCTGCAATAAAGAAAAAGACACATATAATGACGCGCGATACCTGTGTGGAATGACTTTGATTGGTTCCACTTGTCAAATGGGCCACTTTCACGTGCTGGGAATATGGCAAATTATAATATTTTTTGACGCAGATACATATCAATGTAACCAAGAATGAACAATATTTTGCAAGATTTTAGTCAGATTATTAAATAAACTAATAAATAAAAACTAAAAATTTAAACGAAAAATCACGTGATTTTAAATGAGTTAATAAGGATTATACCTATCCTTTATTTTTTTATAATGTAGTAAACGACGAAAATAGTTTCTAGCTAATGAAATATGTAATGATTTACTAATGAGAAATTTGGCATCCTTGATTTTCTGGTGTGTGACGTCACACACCAAGTTCATTTTTTCACGCCAGTTTAAAAATTCGATTTTTAAATAATTTTTTTTTCAAAAATAAGCGTTTTTTTTCGGAAAAAAAGTATACAGATAGTATTAGAATGACTAAAAGTATAATTTAAAAATGTTTTTGAAAAATGTGAAAGTGGCCCATTGTGCAATTTCGGTTATGTTTCTGTTTTTGTTTATTTTTAAACGTAAAATATGACAAAATACGTATTAACATTAATTAGAAAGAAAACCCACCGCAGCAAAAATGTTTGCACCAAACCTTTAATTGTACATTATTATTGTATTTGATATAAAAATCGTTATTTTACGAACCCTCAAATCTCTGTCCCAACTTAAATCATCTTCATTCGGGTTGAGAGCACGTAACTATTGTTTTCTTACAATTTGATTGCTTGGGAACTTGTGAAAAGAAAGGTTTCACTTCTTTTTCGCCTAATTCTGACAAGAACTCATTCAACTCATTTGAACCATTGTATCATAAACAGTTTTTGTATTAATTTTCAGCAATATTGATTGATACTGATTGATTATTGAGGTTAGCTTAAATACGTCAGGGTTAGACCGTGTTCAGTAAATTGACGATTTAATTATCTGTCATCCACAAGATGCGCGCGCAGCACAGGTAAAATGAGAAAGGTCCATTGTAGAAAGTAGGCTTTTTTGGAACACTGATCCGGTCAACCAGATCACCAGCTGTTTGTTTTTTATCTTTCTTTATTTGACACGATTAGAAAAAGACATAGAACATCTAGCGTTTCCAAAAAAGGCCTAGTGTTGACACTATTGAGACTGTAGCGTTCGTTAATTTGTAGGAGTGAGTTTGGTGTATACACTTTATTTGCGTTTGGAAATTTTTCTAATAATTCCTCCATAAAAAACACCAAGGAAAAATTCGTGTCCGAGAACTATAAAATACCATTCAAAATACCGTATTGTTAGCGGTACCGTATTAGCGTATCGTCTGAGGCACGAGAACTCTCTAATTTGTTATATCACGTGATGAAGGTGTAATTGCCGGTGTAACACCGAATACACCGTTGTACTGAGTAAACGGTGTCCCACCATTCAAGCACCAAATTATTTCCAAACGCAAATAAAGTGTACACCAAACTTACTCCTACCAATGTACCAATTAACGAACGCTACAGTGGCAATAGTGTAAAAAGTGTCGACACTTTCTACTATTCAGAACTCACCTCTTCATCACACGATGGAACCCTGCACTACTCAAACACCGCACTAAAATCCCATTCCGAACTCAACTTGAAGATCTGTGACTGTCAGTCTCAAATGTCAAAAGTTTGTTCCCGGTTTTTCAAATATCAAAACATTCGTTTATTTTCTTTTGGAAAATCTGTTAACTATTAATTTAAAACACATTTATTTATTGTAAAACCATCTCTGAAATGTTCTAAATAGTGAACTCTGCTAAAACCATGAGTAATTTAACTGGATATAATTACTGGCAAGAAATATTCGACGAAAGTGTATCAAAAGTATGGAGCCAAGAACCTATTCACATTCTAAAAAACCTTTCAATGTTGTACTACTCCATAGAAAGAGAAATTAAAAAAATCCAGGACACATTACAAAGTGATATAACAGATTTGAGAAACTCTGTGCAAACAAGCAAAATAGCCCAATTTTCAGATTTAGGAAATAATAATAGGTTGCCAGAAAAACAAATAATTAAAGAACCACTGAAAGAATTACCATCGAATAATGATAGCAGCTCCATAATTATATCTGAAGATGAACAGTCTAGTGGTAAAACCATCGACTCCAGCCCTGAAATCAATAAGAAATCTAAAAATTGTATATTCAAAAGACGCCTGAAACGCAGGCAATTAAAAAATGTAAAAGAAAATGGAACTCGAATTTCGAATGATTTTTTAATGGATATATCAATTCCAACAATAAGTACCCCTAAAAAAAGTGCAGTTGATACCCCACAAAAATCTGGCAGCGATATGGATTTTTCAATAGTGCAGTGTACTCCAGTACCAAAGCCAGAGAAAAAAGGATCATTTGCTTTACGTGTTTCCAAGAGAAAGCCACAAAATTCCACTCTAACTCAAATGTTTTTCCCAACAACAAGAGCAAATAATTTATCAACATCTAAAACCATGTCTCCTAGTCAAAGTTACTCTATGCTAGGAATTACCAAAATGGTTAGCTATTTAAATAAAGAAACCCCATCAGCTAATAGAAAACAATCAATTAGCTTAATTTCCGATGATGACAATTCCTCATTAAACAGTGGCATGATTCAAGAAGCACACATTGAGGAAGATTTGAATGACCTTCTAGCAAAAGCCCAAAGCGTTCCAGATCAAATCGAAGCAGCTCCTGTAGTCAGAGGCAAAGCAAGGCAGGCCCTACCAGCTTGGTGTTGCAAGGATTGCGAACGGTTTTACACAAGACAAGGTTTAACTAATGACCAAATATTGGCTTTGAGTAAAAAATGTTCTAAACATAGAGGGAAATATAGACCGAGGGAGGATACTTTGCCTGGGTTTTGGGATATGAATATTTTCACTCCTGCTGCTGATAATGATTTGTAAATTATAAATTTTATTGTAAATATATTGAATTGAATCTCCCACCAAATATTGTCAGTGAAATTTGTTTTTTTGCTTAGACGTGTTTTGTTTTGGTTAAGAACGCACTTCTGTGGGGTGCGTTCAGATTGAATAGTTTGTTGAATGAAGTCCCGAGCAGAACGATAGGGGTTCACTCCGAGTGTGCTTGTCGATTCGCCCAATGAACCCAAAAGAGCCACCTTTTTTTTAAATAGAGTAGAGTAGTTATGAGGGCGAGGCCTGTGCCTTCTCTAAGTTCTTTGTAAAAAAAATCCACAACAAAGCAATCTGAACAGCCAGAGTAAGCTCAGGTGACATTTGACGTCCACTCTGAACACGCGTTCAAAAGTCAATCAGTGCAGTTTTCTGTTTTATCAACTGTGATAATATAAAAAACATTTTTTTGTTTTAACGGTTTTCTATGCATTGGTGATTTGTTTGGCTTTGATTGAAGTATAAAAAAGTTTCTACCTGTGGTACCTGTTCCTACATGTGTAGTTTTATATTATAATGTGACATTTCCAATATTTTACTCTCATATTTATCATTTTTTACAATCGTTTTATACAAAATAATTTGAGGAATGCACTAGACCCAATTTCACAGTTTGTATGATAAAAATCAGTGCATGATTAGAACATGAAGAGCAAGAAAGATCCGACCACCCCGAGACGCAGGGCTTCGGTGTCGAAAAATGGGGGCATCACGAAAGCTGCCAGGGTATTATCACGTCCAGTTTCGACTAGTACGGCCCCCTCTAAGCCTCCGACAGCTTGTAATATTAAGGTTGTTGTAAGAATTCGTCCAGCCAATGAGAGGGAACAAGAAAATGAAAAATTCGAGTAAGAACTTTATAGTTTTAACATATTTTATGTTTTTTTAATTAGGTATGACTCGACTTTAAGTTGTGGGCGAGGTTGTGGGTCCATTCGTTAATTCGCAGCATAATGAATAATGACCTTTATTAAAGTCACTTCAAGTCCAATTTCTTACTTAATTCTGTTTTTTTATGTCTGAAACACCAATGTAGAAATTCAAGTTTTGCAAATTCAAGAATTGGCCTTGGTGATAACTAAGTAAAAACTCCAGTCCAGATCAGCATGGAGTGCTGCGAATGCTGGAGGTGGAACAGGGAAAATCGTTTCCGTTCTCTATTTAAAGGGCAGGCCGCACATCAAAGAAACATGAAACGTGAAACATCAAACATGAAACGTAAAACATGAGACAATAAATTACGAAATGCGAAACTGTTTCTTTCTTGCATACTAATTGAAGAAACAAGAATAATGTTTGCAAAGTCTTTTGGTAGTGTAGTGGAGTATAGAGGGTAGCACACAATGGAAAGTGTTGACGAGCAACAACAACTGCTGTTGTGGCACTTTTCTAGGCTGTGGTCCGAATATAACCATGCTTGTGGTTTGGCGGTCCGAAAGTAATAAAATTATTCTGGTTCCTGGAAAAGTGGTTACTTTTGGACCTTGGTTTCCTGAAATCTGGTTAACCAAATGTCAAAATAGTTACCGGCTTTCGGATGTCGGTTCTGTTGGTTTTATATGTAAATTCTGTCAATTATTTCTTATTTCATATTCGTGTTCCACAAGTAACCGGAATTTTCAGTAACCATCTGTCAACCGATTCGATTACTCCAGGGCTGCGTTCAGGAATGGCTACAGCCAAGCCAAAATTGGCATTTTGCGTTCAAGTTCGGCTCCAACCTACGTGGTTCGGCATTACTGGTGGAGGGGGAAAAGTAAGTTTTGGCATAAGCATTGCCGTCTTTGTACGCACCCCTGGTAAACGTTTGGTTATATTCGGACCATTGCCCTAATTTCTATTCTCGTCAAAAAGCCAAAAAAATAAAGGAAACGACGTTACTGGGTACATCCATACAATAATGTACTTTTTACCTGTTGGACAACATTTTGGCAGGCATTTTCTTGTGATTGTCTATTCGAGTACTTCTCTATGTTATAGGTACTTATATAATTCTCCATCTTGCTTTACCACTGAAACGAACACAATATTGAATTCTTGGTCGTAATTAATTTTTTTATGAATGTATTTATGACCAAAAACCGTGAAACTGAAACGGAAAAATAGAACGCGATCTATTTCATAAAACACGTTTCAACCGAGGGGCGGTTAACTCATCAAAAACAAGTTGGTCAAAATCCCAAAAAATCTTGTAAAATCTCCTTAAAATCCCTAAAAATCTTTAAAATCCTTAAAAATTTAACAAAATCCCTTAAAATCTCTCAAAATCCCATAAAATCCTACAAAATCCCACAAAATTTTATTAAATCTAAAAAAATCTCGCAAGATCTTAAAAAATCATTGAAATTCCTAAAAATATTCTAGTGATTATGGAATAATTTATGAACGAACCGCCAAATTAGGCAGCCATTCCAGTAGCTGCGTCAAGTTAGCCCCCCATAACCGAATATAATTACTTTTTTGGTAGAAATCAATTGTGCTAGAATTGAGCAGAATTGTGCTGCCTCCACTCTCCACTTTTGTTTTTGATCGCATTTAACCTGGTATTGTTGGGAGTCAGGAATGTCGAGTCACTTGGTTTTCCTGATGATTTAAAGTTGTTTTTTGAAGTTTCATCAATCACGGATTGTGCAGTGCTCCAGAGAGAGGTGTCTGATATTGTAGCATTGTGTTCTGAGAATAGTTCCAAGTTGAACCTTGATAAATCTGTATGCATGTCATCCACACGCAATAAAAATCCTGCCATTTATGATTATTCTATAGGTAATGTAAAACTGAAAAGAGTGTCTGTGCAAAAAGATCTGGGAGTTATTTTTGATCCTGCTTTGTCTCTCGGGGCATATTTTGTCAAAAATTTCTAGTGATCAGAAGGTATCAGGTTTCATTACAAGAAACACAAAATGTTTTAGTTTTGGCATTAGCTTATCTCTCTTTGACAGTCTCGTTGTGCCCATCTTATAGACCCTGAGATAGGGCCTGTTTGGTAGAGTTATATTTTTTTGTCTGGCATTCTGAGGGATCAATGTGGCTAGTTAGCTGATGAGAATATAAGTGGTTTTAATGTCTGCCCCCTGTTTGAACTGTCCACAGAATGTTTCGCCGGAAAACTCGATTTCAAACTGTGATTACCGTCTGGCAATTTTTCAGCGTTATTTTCACAACAAAACCTCTCATTCTCTCGATTGCCAGATAAAAAGTAAACGAGGAAGGTTCTTTTCTTTTCTCTTGGAAGTTGACACCATCCCTATTTTTTCAGCCATTGAAAAGCATCTGGTATTTTTTATGGGTGAATTATTTATCAACGTCAATCTTTTATTTAAAATCCAGAAAATTCGAGATCATTAAAAAAAAATCTTCATGTAAATCAATTTTTTTCTTCTGCAAATTTTCGAACGGGAGGCAGGCATTAAAATCACCGATATTCTCATCAGCTTGGTAGCCACTTTCAGCCCTCAAAATGCCAGACCAAAAAAAATGACTCCACTAAATAGCCTCTATCTCACAGTCTATTAGAATATGGCAGCATAATATGGTCACCCCAATACCATAATTGGAGTGAAATTATAGAAAGTGTGCAGCGAACATTTTTTAAATGTCTATACTTCAGAAAGTTTGGAGTTTATCCCCAGCGTGGCTATAGCAATGACTATTTGTTGGGTGTGTTCAGTAAACTGTCACTGAAGAAAAGGCGGATAAGAATATTCTTATGCACTATGTATGGGGTTTTGACCAATAATATTGACTGCCCAGGTATTTTGGAACAGCTTCCTTTTGCTGTAAATCGTATTAATTCAAGGAGTAAAAATGTCCTTTACTTGGCCTACCCTAGAACCAATCTGGACAAAATTATCGCACCACTGCTTATGGTGATGCTTATGTGGAGTGGTGCGATAATTTTGTCCAGGAGTATATTTAACCTTTATGCCTCAGATGTAGATATAGACATTATTAGTCTTAAGGCATTCAAAATGATAACTGACAGGAAACTGCATTCATCCTAAATTGTATTTCTCTGTATGTTGAGATTGTAAGTAGGTTTTCCTACGAGCGTGCGGAAAAGAAGTTACTTTTCCGCACGATTTTTCGTTTTGAAAGTTGTACTTTTCCGCACGATTTTACTTTTCCGCACGATTTTACTTTTCCGCACGATTTTACTTTTCCGCACGATTTTACTTTTCCGCACTATTTTTTTACTTTTCCGCACGATTTTTACTTTTACTGAAAAGTGTACCCATATTAAAGTTCGGGGGGCCCCCTATTTGGGGGCGGAGCCCCGCGGTGGTCCCCTATTTGGGGGGCATAGTCCCGCGGGGGCCCCATTTTTGAGGGGGCACAGTCCCGCGGGGCCCTTTTTGGGGGGCGAAGCCTCTGATTTGGGGGGCGGAGCCCCTTATTTGGGGGCACAGCCCCGCAGGGCCCCCTATTTTGGGTGGCATAGCCCCGCGAAGGTAGGGAATCCTAACAATTTTTTTCTATTTTGGTGTCATATCGAAGTCTTTTCGACACTAAAAGTAGTTTCGAAAAGAAGCTCTTTGTGACACTCCTTTTTTACTTATCGGAGGTTGGTAACACTGGCGGACTGATGGCCATCGAACTGTCATTCACGATTTTATAATAGAAGATTTCTATATTTGGCATGTAGTGTTACCAACCTAAACTATGAAATCAGGAAATATGAGAATAAAATTTCCAAGATTTTTTTTTTTTTTTAATTAAACAATACCAAAATAGAAAAAATAGTATAAAATATTCGTTTCATAAGACATTTTATCGCATTCGCCCTTTAGAAAACTCGCCTCCGGCTCGTTTTCTAATATAGGGCTCGTGCGATAAAATCACGTCTTATGAAACTTGTATTTTAATGTACTATTTTGGCCAATTTAGTTATAGGCCAAGGATCATGATAAAAAAATCCGGTTCCATTATTTTTTGGTGTATAAAAAAATCGTGCGGAAAAGTAAAATCGTGCGGAAAAGTAAAATCGTGCTGAAAAGTTACTTTTCCGCACGATTTTTTTATTGCTAAAAATGAAGATATTTAGGATCAAATATAGTTATTTACCTAACAAATGCGGAAAGTGATACTTGCCTGAAAAGGCACTTTCCGCATGTGTTAGGTACAAAATTTTACCTATGAGCATCTACATCTCTAAAAAAAGGCATTGATAAAATTAATTATTGAATCAGATTAATTAATTAAATTAGATTAAATATAGAAATGATCAAAAATCCATTTTCTGAAGAATAGAGGATTTCTGATTAAAAATATCAAATTTTACTTTACCGCACACTATGCGGTAAAGTGCACTTTACCGCACACTTTGTAGTCCACTTTACCGCATACTATGCTGTAAAGTTAACTTTACCGCACACTATGCGGTAAAGTTACTTTACCGCATAGTGTGCGGTAAAGTGATACTTTCCATTTGCAAATACGTGCGGTAAAGTGCACTTTACCGCACGCTCGTAGGTAAAATGATTTATGTTATATATTATGTGCTATTTTGTACCATCATTATAAAATCTTTGCGTATTGGAACATTTTTTTTGATAAATAAGATGGACAAAAGCACTCGTAGGAAAAATATTGTACCTAACTCTTGCGGAAAATGTCTTTTCCACCCTCGACGGCTTGCCCGAACTCCGCTCCGCGTCGTTCGTGCAACTGCCGTCTCGTGCGGAAAAGTACCACTTTCCGCACTTGTTAGGTAAATAACTATTTAAGAGTATGTTAAATGTTATCTGTATTCTTGTATTATTACTATTAAGCCGGTATCTGTAATTGGCTCTGCTGTTGATACTTTGAATAAATAAATAAATAACTAAATATACATTCTCAATGTCCTAGAGGTCTTGGACACATTCCCAGTAATTATTATTCTCTAATTATTCAAACAAAAATGTAAGTTGATTTGACATGATATTGAAGAATTTTTCAGGATAATTTTCACTGAGTCATTCAGTCGTATGAATAAAGTGTAGCAAATGTTTTTACTCTACCTCCGCCTCTTTTTGCTGCATCATAATAGCTGAATATGTTTATCTCAAAAAACTTAAGCAAAAGCGTTTGCTTCTGTTTTATTCATATGAGCTACTTACTACCTTGGGTCACTGCTAGAGATGTAAAAAAACGGTTTTTTTTCAGATTTGAAAAAAAACATTGAAAAAAAACCAGAAAAAAAACGTTTTTTCTGTTTTTTTTCTAAATGATTCAAATGTAAAAAAGCAGGTTTTTTTCAGATTTGAAAAAAAAAATATGAAAAAAAAACTAGAAAAAAAACAAGTTTTTGTGTTTTTTTTTTTTCAAAATAATTCAATTTCAAACTTCGTGAGTATCTCCAACCTCATCTTTAAGTAAAAAAAAATTGACATTTGACGACCCTGGAGACATAATAGTTACAGTCTGAAAATTTTTCATACAGCGAAAGTGTCTTATATCAGTGATGTTCTGTTCTAGTATGTATGTTGTATAAATATGATGATTGTATGATCTGATATAATATGATAGTTCATACATGGATGTACCATGTACCTCTGACCTGAAAACATGTTTCCTTTACATAAAAATAGGTCTGTTTCTGCAGAAATCACAAACCAGTCAGAGGGAATTTCATTGGTTGAAATTAGTTTTCTGACTGGTTCTGACTGTTTTCAACCAATGAAATTCGCTCTGACTGGTTTGTGATTTCTGCAGAAACAGACCCAATATTGTTCCTATGTTATTTCTATATAGAATAAGACAATATTTTACTTTTTATCGATATTTCACTGAATAAACCAATTTTTTGTCCCAAGAAAAGTTTAATTGGCAAAAAAAGTAAAAAATGCGCATATGGTGCTAAGTTTAGAAAAAAAACACAAAATCTGAAAAAAAACCATTTGAAAAAAAACCATGAAAAAAAACTTGAAAAAAAACAAAAAAAACGGATTGTTTTTTTTCACGTTGCATCTCTAGTCACTGCTTAGTTGTTTTTCGGTTTTGTAACTGATTTTTCACATTTTCTTTATTTTAAGGATGACTTAGCATTGTCAACTGCATCCTTGATAATAAAGCAATTTTTCATCCATTGATCGAACTCCTTCTTTTACAGCAATGTAGTAAAATTCATAGACAACTCCACGCTGATTTTCGACCCTAAAGAAGACGAGCAGCCCTTTTTTTTCCACGGAGTCCAACAGAAAAGCCGCGATCTTCTCAAAAAAACCAAGAAAGACATTACTTTTCATTTTGACCGAGTTTTCAATAATGCTTCGACCAACTTGCAAGTGTTTGATAGCAGCACTAAAAGCCTTATCGACACGCTAATGGAGGGCTGCAATTGTTCAGTGTTTGCCTACGGAGCTACCGGCTCTGGAAAAACATATACAATGATTGGAAATTCTAGAAACCCGGGAATTACCTACTTGACAATGAAGGAATTGTTCCAACGGAAAGAAGATTTGAACGCAGAACGGGAGTTTGAATTGATGCTGACTTACATAGAAGTGTACAATGAACTAGTTAAAGATTTATTAAACCCTGGAGCCCCATTAAATTTACGAGAGGATGAAAAATACGGCGTGGTTATTCGAGGAGTGAAAGGCCACAAAATCACAAATCCTGACGAACTATTCAATTTACTAGAAATTGGCAATAAGAGGCGCACTCAACACCCAACCGATGCGAATGCTGAAAGCAGCCGGTCCCATGCTTTACTACAAGTTTACATTCAAATGACATTTAAAAATACTCGAGAAATAAGAAGAGCAAAGTTGAGCATGATTGATTTGGCTGGAAGTGAACGGGGTTCCGCAACTGGTTTTGTAGGAGCTCGTTTCAAGGAAGGAGCCAATATTAACAAATCTTTATTAGCTTTAGGAAATTGTATTAATAGTTTAGCAGACGGACAACGCCACGTACCATACAGAGACTCCAAATTAACAAGGCTGTTGAAAGACAGCTTGGGTGGTAACTGTCACACCATCATGATTGCTAATGTTTCCCCAGCTTCAATGAGCTTTGATGACACATATAACACTTTAAAATACGCTACTAGAGCTAAAAAAATCAAATCCAGCCTCAAACGGAATGTGGTTAATGTTGATATGCATATCGATCAATACATTAAGCTTGTTGAAGATTTGCAACAAGAAAATTCCACATTGAAAACGGAAAATCAAAGGTTGAAAAAAAAACTTGAAGACCTAGCGCAAACATCTACTTCCATGACCACATGTGATAATGATTGTCAAAAGCAAATTGAAGAACTAATTAGGGAGAAAAATGAAATCAAGAAACAGTTAGAAGAAGTTTTAGCTGCAAAAGCTCCTGATTCTGTAACCAAACAACCAAATACCTATTTGATACGTCAAAATACTGTGATTCTTGGCAATGACGCAGGAGATTCCTTTAAGTCACCCATTAAAATTGACCCAAAAATAATTTCAGTATTCAAACAAACAATCTGCGATAAAAAGGAACTGATGCAAAGAGAATACCAATGTCAAAGCATGAGGTTGGGAATGAGTTTGAGACGGGAATTGAAAGCTGACATAAAATCTAGATTGAGCTCCCTTTATGTGGACACACCTGAGAAGGAGGAAATGCGCCGTAAGATTGACGAACAAGTTGACAGGTATGAGAAAAAAGAGAAAGCTACTTCAACAAATGTAGACGAAATACAACAAAAATGCTCAGTGGTTGATAGAGAGCTGCAAGAATTGGTCGACAAACATCCTGAATTGTTGGAGGAATTCAGGCTGGCTAATTTAGAAATTGACGCATTGAATTATAAGTATAAGGTAATTATTTCTTAAATTTATTAATTTGATTCAGTCTAAATTCACTCGATAGACTCTTGAGAAGACATGTTAACTTAATTAGCAAATTAAATATGTAGAATCCTTGTCGAAAAAGCACCGATTTTAGTAGGGCTATTTTTGCTTTGTCTCCCTTAAATCCCCAATGGGTAAAAAACCCGTTTCCATTAGTAATAGGGAGTTTTACATTTTCATTAATTTTTTGGTTTGCTTTTAGTCTGACTTAAAACAAAAAGAATTGGAAGTCGTTTTTGATGATCACAAAGACAAATCTTCCGTTCTCGAAACTATGGCCAAGCTCCTCAAGAACCTCTTTTTGGCAGTAGGAGGTAAAGATGGCGCTCCAGAAAGCATCAAGAAGCAATATCATGACATTGTAGCCATGCTAAATGGCAAAAAGAGCCTTAAATGGCACGAAACGGAAGAGCCAGAGCCTATGTTGGAGATGGATCCAGGTGAGAATTAAATTCATATTTATTGTGGTTAGTTCTAAAATAAAAACTTTGCAGCTGTAAGTTCTGCGTCACAGCCGGTCAGTCCAAATGAAGAAAAATCGAGGGCCATCAAACGTAAAATCGAAACTGACAGTCAACTTTCACTGGATTCAACGTTTACTCAGAGTAAATCTCCAAAGACACCTAATTGCAAACTAGGATCCAAATTAACTGTCAATAGTAATACTCATATAGTGGCAAAAGGTGGGATATATTTTGGTCATGTGTTGGTAGAAATTTTACAAGGAATATTTCAAGGCTGTAAAAATGATCAATATTAAATTTATTAAGAACATTTTAGAATTTTGATTTTATTCATAAAAAAAGTTCCAGATTTAGCTGACTGCTAAAGTAAGACAGTGAAAATTGAAAATTCTAATATAAATATTTTTATTTTCGTTTAGGCAAGACACCAAATAAAAGGCTGGTAGGATATGCGTCACCAAGAAGATGCTCTCCTAGAACTGCACTGTCTCCTAGGAAGAAAGTATCGCCACGAAGCAAGGAAAATAATGTGAGAAAAGTTATCGCTAGACCAGACACTGCTAGGACTCTTCCTAGAAAAGGTATATTTTTCTTTGATTTTCTTTGACAAAACTAATAATAATTTCTTTCTAGCTACTGTTTCCAAGCCTCGTGAGGACCGTCCCAGATTTAGATTGTGATTATTTTCCTCAAGATTTTAATAATTTTATTCCAAATTTAGGACAGAAATAGCATATTATCATAAAAAGGCCATGACTCGTTTAGAATTTTCTATTTTTTTTTTTGATGCTGCAAAACGAGTCATACCCTTTTTCCTTCTACCAGCTACTACTAATTTACGCTTCACTGTAAGGGACAGCATCTATTTTGAAAACTGAATTTTGGAATGATAATAAACTGTGAGTCAATAACGTAGGTATTACCAAACCTTGCCGAGATGGTCAAAGACTTATAACCGCATCAGATATGTTTGCAATTATTATGACTTTTGCATATGTTTTAAATGTTCAGTTTTTTTTTTAAATGTTTATTGAAATATAAATAATAAAATCGCTTTAGGAGAATTTATTTATTTTTGATTTCGTGTATTATGTGTTGTTTTCTCAATTTCACTGATGAGCTTTAGTATTATATTTAAGTACTAACTAATAAAAATTTTTCTAGTAAAGTTTGAGTGTTATTTTTGGTTTTAACAAATTGTATTATTGGAAAATTGGGTATATTGTTCTCAAGGTTGTAGGTATCTAGCAGTTAGCAACAACCAAAAAAAAAGACAGCATTCGAGCATCAATGATACCAAAATTATCTGTTATTAATGTTATGTATTAAGATAAAAATAAATTGTTTGTTTAAAGAGAAAAGTGGGAATGATTATGATAATTGACTATAAAGGAGAAATAATAGCAATGAATAATGCGCAAAACGTGTTAGTCGTTTAGTTATCTTGAGATAAAATGGGGTTTATACTTAAAGGTATTTTCGGTTTGGCTCTAGCGTTTTTAGGGTATTTGTTTTATGCGAAATTATGTAAGGTACCCGAAGTTCCCCATTTTCCAGAAGATACTTGGTGGGGTAAAAGCGAGCCTGTTAAAGAAGATACTAGCATTAAACCATTTAAAATAAATGTGTCAAAAGAGGTAAAAATAATTATATTTGCAAGGATAAAATAATTTGGCTTTAGATTTTAGATGATCTCAAGCATAGACTGGATATTGCTTTACCTATGCAACCACCATTAAACGGTGTGGGGCAACATTATGGCATGAACTCGAATTTATTGCAAAAAATCGTCAACCATTGGAAAAACAAATATAATTGGTAATAATCAATACACTTATAAGAAACTCCTATTTGAAAATTTATAACTTTAGGTCAGAAAGGCAAAAGTTTTTAAACCAATACCCCCAATACACCACTCAAATCCAAGGACTCGATATCCATTTTCTCCATGTAAAGCCAAAAGTAGATAAGGCTTCAAATGTTAAAGTTCTTCCTTTGATGCTGCTTCATGGATGGCCCGGCTCGGTTAGGGAGTTTTACGAGGTAATCCCGTTACTAACTAAACCACAAAAAGGGCGGAATGTCGTATTTGAAGTCATCATTCCAAGTTTGCCAGGGTATGGATTTTCAGAGGCTACCAACAAGCCTGGCATGAATGCGGCTAGGATGGCACAAATTTTCAAAAAACTTATGGATAGATTGGGACATAAGAAATTTTATGTACAAGTAAGAACCATATCGACAACTTTTTTGTGCTGTGTAATGATGTGAGAGCAAATTTGATTCTTATATCATCATAAAGCATTCCTTTACTTTACACACAAAAAGGCATCTTATAGTTGAAATATTCCAGATTCCTGGATATATAAATTATTTTTCAATGAACTCCAATGTTCATTTAACTTTTTAAGCTAGTGAGCTGTTTTCAATAGAACTGTTCTCTGCATATTTTTAGGGTGGTGACTGGGGTAGTTCCGTTGCAACTTACCTAACTATCCTATACCCAGCTAGTTTATTTGGTACCCATTTGAATTTTTGTCTGTGCCTTTCAAATATGTGCTCCTTGAAATTGTGGCTGCTAGGTAAGTCAGTAATAATACCACAACAAAATTGGATTCCTGAGCAACTTTTTTAATTTTAGGATCAACATTCCCTTCGCTGATCGCCACAGAAGAAGAAATTCCGTTGTTCACGCCAGTCGGTGAAAAATGGTTTACAGACAAAATGTTGGAGTCTGGATATTTGCACATTCAAGCTACCAAGCCTGATACTGTGGGTACAGCGTTGAGAGAGAGTCCAGTGGGGCTTGCAGCCTATATTATAGAAAAATTCACTACCTGGACTAATCCAGAATGGAAGGATCTTGAAGATGGAGGCCTCACTAGAAAATTCACTTACGATCAGTTACTAGACAATGTAATGATTTATTGGGTCACCAGATCCATTACCACATCACAGAGGCTCTATTCTGAACAGTTCAATCATAAATTTAGAGCTTTAGGATTTGATAAGTACGAACAAACATTGATTTTTTTTGGCACGAACCTATTCATCTTTTTTTTTTTGTAGTATACCAACACCCGCTGAAGTTCCAATTGGTTGTGCCAATTTCAAACATGAAATCGTTCAGCAACCAGAATCGCTATTGAGATTGAAGTACTTGAATCTACAACATACAAACAGTTACAATGACGGTGGTCATTTTGCAGCGTTTGAGCTCCCGGATATGTTCTCTAATGATATTTATGAATTTGTTGAGAAAATTAATGATAAATAAATACTTTTTTATTTTGTGTATTTCGAATCTTTTCTACTCATACAATTTAGTTTCTGTCTATATAGAAACTAAAAAAATACAAAGACAAGTTACATCTTCTGCAGGACAGACGCCAACGTCCATCATCACATAGAATCGGGAAGCACCACACCCAAACTTAGGCATTATCAACAAGGATAACAAACTCATTTTCATGAACGCCATCAGACAAGGGGTCTTGGACGTGACTCTAGCTAACACATTCACATCCAACACAGTAACCAACTGGTTTGTGTCATATGAACCCTCCCTGTCGGACCATCAAGCAATAAGGTTCGACGTAGAGGCAGCAATAAACCACTCAGTGGGAGTTCCAAGTAATTTCTCCAAAATTTTAAATTATTCTCGTGAAATTCAAAAAAAAAAATATGATATTATTTAGGAATTCCTGTGAAATTTCTTGCAATTACAGAAAATTACCCTGAAATCACATGGATTTTTAGTAGAATTCCAGAGAATTTTTATGAAATTCTGGTACAGTTTTTATTTAAAAATTTACTAAAAAAAAAGAATTGTTTCAATACAGTTCAGAGACTTGACACTGTCGTTACTGTTGGGCTGAATTTTACCTTATACTTCGAAATTCAGGCAAATTTTTATTAATCAATCAATAATAATTATTGAAATTTGAAATAACTAATAAGTAGTAAGCTACTAACAACTAACTCAAATATCAAAAATCTTGCGAAATTATTTGGGATTTCAGTGGAATTACGTGGAATTCCGATGAAATTCCATTAATTTTCTTAGAATTCGAGAAAATTCCTGTAAAAATTACATGAAATTTTCGTGAAATTTTAAATAATTCTTGTGAAATTATTTGGAATTTCGAAAAAATTCCAATGAAATTCCATGTATTTTCCGGAAATTCCACGTATTTCTCCCGGAATTCCAAATTATTTTCGTAGTATTCCAGTAAAAATTACATTAAATTTTCATGCAATTTAAAAAAAAAAAAATGTGAAATTATTTAGAATAATAGTGAAATTACGTGGGATTCCGGTAAAATTATGTGATACTACGAAAGAATTACGACGAAATTTTCCGAGTATTCGACTCAATGCCTCCGGAATTTTAAGTTATTCTCGTGAAATTCCAGAAAATTCCCATGAAATTCTAAAATATTTACGTAAAATTATACGTGGAATTTTCACTAAATTTCAAAAAAAAAAAATCCTGTAGAATAAAATGGAATCCTTGTAAAATTCAAAAAAAAAAATCCTTAAAGTTACTTGTAATTTCAATGGAATTTTGAAGAATTTCTATGATATCACTGGACTTGGAATTCTCGTAAAATTGAAAGAAAAAATCGCAAAAATTTCCGTAAATTACATAAAATTTTTACTGAAATAAAATTATGTAAGTACTTGAATTTCTCTTGAAATTATTTGGAATTCTAACAAAATTTTAAGAAATTCCTGTGAAATAAATCAAAATTCTCGTGAAATTCCAAAAAATTCACAAGAAACTACTTAAAAAATCGTATAAATAATTATGAAATTCCAAAAAAAAATCGTGAAATTAATTTTTAAATTTCAGCAAAATTCCAAGGAATTTTTATGAAATAACTCAGAATTTCAGTGGAATTCTAAAAAAATTTGCGTGGAGTGACTTGAAATACTCATAAACTATCAAAAAGTGATTTGTGAAATTACATGGAATTCCAAAAAATTTCTGTGAAAATACAGAAAATTTCTTTGAAACTAATTGAATTTTTAGTGGAATTCCGAAGAATTTTTAGGGAATTCTGGTGTGCAAATTATGAACATTCTTGGAACATTCTATAAACATTCCCCGAATATTCTCCAAAAATTTTCCAAAAAAAGACATGTTTAAACATTCTTGGAACATTTTGTAAACATTTCTAAAATATAGGTACATTGCAAATTTTTCAAAAAAAAAACATGTTAAAACATTTCTGGAACATTTTATAAACGTCCTAAAATAGAAGAATTATTTCAAAAATATATTGAAATATTTTTGTCTTGGAAGGGTACCCCTTTTGAATTCTAATTTCAAAATATTCTAACCTCAATTGCTCGGTAACCGTTGAGCAAATTGCATTGAAATTTTTCAGGATTTGTAGCTCTTATTGAGCTCTAAATGACCTGTAATTCACAATATTTTCAGATTTATAGTTTCTAAGCAAATTGAGTTTGAAGTTTTTGACAAAATTTAGACTGAAAGTCAACTTTGAGGCTCAATTGCTTGAAAACTGTTTGAGCTATCAAACTCAATTTTGCACAGGTTTATAGAGAATTTAATGCACTCTCTGATGATATATAATTTATTTCAGTTTGCTCGAAGTATAACAAAGATATAGGCAATTGCTCATGACCATATCAAGATTTTGAAATTTTCCAGACCAAAAATAGGATTTCCTGTTTAATTTTTTTTCTGCTTAAAATGGCCATTTGAAATTAATGTCAGGGTTGTTTTTGACTAATTTTGACCCGCTCTATCGATTGGTAAAGTCAAAATTGAGCAAAATTGAAAATTAAAAAAAATCGTGTTTTTCTTAAGGGTACCCCTTTGAATTTTGATTTTAAAATATTTAAAATTCAATTGCTCGCTAACCGTTGAGCAAATTGCATTGGAATTTTTAGTATTTGAAGCTTTTATTGAGCTCTAAATGGCCTGTGATTTACAATATTTTCAGATTTATAGTTTTTGAGCAAATTGAGATTGAAGTTTTTGACAAAATTTGGACTAAAAGTCAACTTTGAACTTTGAGCCTTGATTGCTTGAAAACTATTTGAACTATCCAACTTTGCACTAATTTATAGAGATATAGAGATATAGAGAATTTAATGCTCTTTCCAATGATATATAATTCATTATAATTTGCTCAAAACTCAACAAAGATATGGGCAATTGCTTATGACCATGTCAAGATTTTTGAACTAAAAATAAGATTTTTCTTTGTGATTTTGTTTTTGCTTGAAATGGCCATTTAGAATTGGTGTCAGGGTTGTTTTCCATTCATTTTAACTCGCTCTATCGATAAATAATGTCAAAATTGAGCAAAACTGAAAAATGAAAAAATCTCTTAATCCTGATTTCAAAATACATATTCAAACTTCGATTGCTCGGTAACCGTTGTGTAAATTGCATTGAAATTTTCAGCATTTGTAGCTCTTATTAGGCTCCATTAAATGGCCTGTGCTTTACAATATTTCCAGATTTATAGTTTTTGAGCAAATTGAGTTTGAAATTTTTGACAAAATTTGGACTAAAAGTCAACTTTGAGGCTAAATGCTTAAAAACTATTTGAGCTATCGAACTCAATTTTGCACAGATTTATAGAGAATTTAATGTTCTTTCCAATGGTATATAATTTATTTCAATTTGCTCGAAATTTAACAAAGATATGGGTTTGATGGGTTTATTTGTTTGAGAGTTCCACTTCTATCACGTGTAGGGCGCTGCATGATTTTTTTTGCCTCAAGATCGATGGCGGCAACCCTTTCCAATCGGCCGCCCCTTTCAATCGGCCGCCTGTGTGTTTTGAACACACTGCACACATGGTAGCGGCGGCCCTGCTGGTTGGTAAAACATGGGAGCTAAAGCCAAAGATAGTATTCTGGATTTACCAAGCTATAATAGAGCCCATGGTCACATACGCCTCATTGGTATGGTGGCCCAAAACTCAGCAGGCCACCGCTCAGATCAAGCTAAACAAGATACATGCTTAGGAATAACGGGAGTAATGTCGACCTGCCCCACCGCAGTCCTAGAGACGCTGCTCAACATGCCTCCATTTCACCTATGTGTGAAAAAAGAGGCAATAATCAGCGCTCACAGAGGCTATTCCAAACAGACAAGTTCAAGCCTGGTGATCGAGAATCAGCAAATCAAGCGACCACATGATGGACAGATTGGACTTAGAGATTCCATTCGCACTGCTAATAGGACGAGCGCCGATCATGGGAGAATAAAGAATTACCACAAGCAGACAATGCATCTCTGTGGTACACAGATATGGATCCAAACTAACGGAAGGAGTTGGACTGGGTATTTCCGGCCTTAACTTTAAGCTCTCCAAGGCATTGGGCAAAGATCTTACAATATTTCAAGCCGATCTGCTTGCCGTAAACATATTGTGCACAAGAGTGTCTTAACCAAAGCCTCAAAGGAAAACACATCTTCATACTATTAGATAGCCAAGCTGCCTTAAAAGCCTTAAGGGCTTTCAAATGCACCTCAAAACTAGTCAGGGAGTGTAAACAGACCCTAAAAACACAAGCGACACACAACCAGGTAACGCTGATGTGGCTGCCTGATGGTCATCGAGGCATAGAAGGAAACGAAGAAACAGATGGCCTTGCAGAAGAAGGGGCTTCAACACCATACCATGGACCAGAGCCCTATTGTAGCCTAATAAAAAAGCCACATCATGGATGAACTCAACAAATGGGGGAAAGACCAACTGTTATCATATTGAAGGGGAGGCACACTCAGGTACTAGACAGTCAAAAAGGTTCATCACCCTTTCAGCAAAAAGAGCTGAACAGCTCCTAAACATGAGCAGACCAGACATCAGAATGGTCGTAGGACTGCTCACAGGACACTGTCTGGTAAAATACCACTTAAGGTTAATGGGCAGACCAGAAGACGATCTCTGCAGATTCTGCTCAGACGCAATAGACACCGCAGAGCATCTGCACAATTCTGCAAGAGGCTCAAATTCCTCGAGAAGGCAACAGTGTCACCAAAAGAAGTGAACCGAGTACCCAGAAAAATAGCTTCCTTCGGCAGAAATCTACGCTTTCTGGAGACAATTTAAGATGAAGAGTCACGTACAAAATATCTGCAAAGGTAGCAGTGCTGAGCGGCTCTAAAGCCGAAACGATTCCCCCCACAATCTACAATCTACACCTTCTAAAAACAACTGAACAAACTTATACATAATTAAAATAAGCAATACATTAATTTGAATTTTGTTATACAGAGTTTAGAATTTGAATGCATCACAAGAAGCAAACAAACCTGTGAGCTAAAAATAGACGAAAAGACTCAAAGGTTGATATTTTTATTGATTGGCACATTAATTGTTGTTGTGTTGAAAATAATCTAAGGTGAAAACTACATTTCAACGATATTATCAATTTGTTTGTGAGTTTACCATCGAGACAACAAAATCTTGACTCGTATTTATACCTTTCAAAAATGGGTATCATTGTTAAGGGTATTTTTGGTTTAGCTGTGGGGTTGTTAGGCTATTGGTTTTATGCTAAACTAAGTGCAGTTCCTGAATTTCCAGTTTATCCTGAAGATACTTGGTGGGGCAAAGGAGATCCAATTAAGGGGAATACAGACATAAAACCATTTGAAATCGACGTTTCTACAGAGGTAAAATGAAAATACATTGATATTCTTTTTATAATTGACCCTGAACTTTACCTACTTATTTAACATGATTTTCATAAAAGTACCTATGCATAACAGTTGTTTAATTAGATTTTAGATGATCTAAAACACAGATTGGATATCGCTTTACCTTTACAACCACCCTTAGAGGGAGTAAAGCAACATTATGGCATGAACTCGAATTTATTGCAAAAAATCATCGATCATTGGACAACCAAATATAATTGGTAGGTAATTCATCAACTCATTGAAAATTCTGTATAAAAATTTTCAAATTTTAGGACAGAGAGGCAAAGTTTCTTAAACCAATACCCTCAATACACTACCATGATTCAAGGACTCAATATACATTTTTTGCACGTAAAACCCCAAGTTGACAAAGCCTCAAATATCAAAATCCTACCCTTAATGTTGCTCCATGGATGGCCTGGATCAGTGAGGGAGTTTTATGAAATGATACCGTTCCTAACTCAACCACAAAACGGAAGAAGAGCTGTATTTGAAGTTATCATTCCAAGTATGCCAGGATATGGATTTTCGGATGCAGCAGCAAAGTCTGGCATGAATCCCGCTAGGATGGCTCAGATTTTCAAGATACTGATGCACAGATTGGGGCACGATAAGTTTTATGTCCAAGTGAGAAATTGAATTTAGAATTTTATCTAATTTGACTTCTATTTTTTCGAGGGTGGAGATTGGGGTAGTATAATTGCAACAATCCAAACACATTTGTATCCAGATAGTATATTGGGTGCTCACTTGAATTTTTGCACTTGTAAATCCAACATTTGCTTGTTGAAGTTATTGTTGCTTGGTGAGCTATATATAGTTTGAAAAAATAATAATTACCCAAACAATTTTTTTTTTTTATAGGAACAACTTTCCCTTCCTTGATAGCCACAAAAGAGGAAATTCCTTTATTCACTCCAGTTTCTTCAATTTTTGCAGACTTAATTTTAGAAAGTGGTTATTTGCACATCCAAGCCACCAAACCTGATACAGTTGGTACGGCTCTACGAGAAAGTCCTATAGGTCTTGCAGCGTATATTCTGGAAAAGTTCGTTACGTGGACTAATCTCCAGTGGAAGGATCTTGAAGATGGAGGCCTGTCCAGAAAATATACTTATGACAAGTTACTGGACAATATCATGATTTATTGGGTCACCAGGTCTATCACAACATCTCAAAGACTGTATGCTGAAATGTTCAATAAGGAAATGTATTTAAAAGGATTTGATAAGTATGATATGATATATAATTATCCAGAAATTTAAGCCATTTATTTTTCAGTATACCAACACCATCAAAGGTACCAATAGCTTGTGCCAGATTTGAAAACGAACCTGCTCACCAACCAGAATCCTTGCTAAGATTGAAATATTCAAATTTACAGCAATTGAATAATTACAAAGATGGTGGGCATTATCCAGCTTTTGAGCTTCCAGAAGTGCTGGCCAACGATGTTTATGCTTTTATTGAAAAAATTGAAATACAAGGATTTTTATAAAAATGTCGTTTTGTGTGTTTTATTTAGATTTTCCAGGAAAACATTGTCCTCAGAAAAACTTTAAGGTTTTCTACACTCCTCAGGCTTAAAGAGACATCTTTCTACAGAGAAAATTTGTAAATTTTCTTTCTGTGTACAGTAATTATTATTTGTGTGTCATCAACTTGAATTCAACGAAAAACAATTTTAGTCGTGGAAAAATGTTTGCAATTTGAGCGGCCAAACAAGCTGAAAAATTATAAAACTACTAAAAGTTCCACTTTAATAAGATAAGATGCTACCGAACTGGTTTTCATAATATTGTTTTAAACGCTTCTGATAAATAATTACTGGACGAATAAACAATTTAATGCGCATTCGCCGGTGCCGGTAGCAACAAATAAAGTAATTATTCCTAGACTCAAGTTCACGGTTCAGGGTTTAATTGAGTCGAGTACCTATTTTGATTTTGCCGGTCGCAGTACTACGGGAAAAATGGGTCTTCTGCTTCGTGGATTTGTCGGTGTTATTGTGGCAATTTTAGGATACGGGTTATATGTTCGAATAAGTACCGTTCCTGAGGTTCCAATTTATCCAGAAAATACTTGGTGGGGTAAAGGAGAGCACGGTAAAGATGATACCAGTATAAGGCCGTTCAAAATTGATGTGTCTAAAGAGGTGAGAACTGATCTTGAACATTTATTTCTGGAACACTTTCAAACTACTACATAAATTCCTTCAGAACTATGATAGAAAATATGGAAATATTCTGATGCCATTTCAATTAATTCACTTTTTAATGATTTTCCTTTAGGTTTTAGATGATTTGAAACACAGATTGGATATTGCTTTACCTTTGCAACCACCCCTGGAGGGCGTGAAACAACATTACGGCATGAACTCGAATCTATTGCAAAAAATCATAGATCATTGGAAAACCAATTATAATTGGTATAAAAATTAAGGCATTATTATAAAAACTATACTTGTTTTATAAAAATTTAGGTCTGAAAGGCAAAAGTTCTTAAATCAATACCCTCAATACACCACTCAAATCCAAGGACTCAACATACATTTCATCCACGTGAAACCCAAAGTGGACAAATCTTCAAATGTTAAAATACTTCCTTTGATGTTACTCCACGGATGGCCTGGTTCAGTGAGAGAGTTTTACGAAATGATCCCGTTGCTAACTCAACCGCAAAATGGAAGAAAAGTCGTATTCGAAGTCATCATTCCAAGTTTGCCAGGATATGGATTTTCAGAGGCTACTGACAAACCTGGAATGAATTGTGTCAGGATGGCACAGATTTTTAGAAAGCTTATGCAAAGATTGGGACACAATAAATTCTACATCCAGGTAATTAACTCGATTTACTTTTCTACAAAAAGAGTGTATTGAAATTGATTCTAGGGCGGTGATTGGGGTAGCTTCATTTCAACTTTTCTAACCATAATGTATCCGGAAAGTGTCATAGGGTCCCACCTGAATTTGTGCTCGTGTTCCACGACCATGTGTAGTTTGAAACTCTTGCTCCTGGGTTAGTTATGAAACATATTATTGTCAATATTTGTTTAATTTTTGATTTCAAGGCACAACATTCCCGTCATTGATAGGCACAGAAGAAGAACTACCTCTGTTCACTCCAGTTGGAAAAATGTTCACAAATTTGCTGTTGGAAAGTGGATATTTTCACATCCAGGCCACTAAGCCAGATACCGTCGGCACGGCTTTAAGGGAAAGTCCTGTGGGTCTTGCGGCTTACATCATAGAAAAATTCACCAGTTGGACTAATCCAGAATGGAAAGATCTTGAAGATGGAGGACTTACCCGGAAATTCACTTATGACCAACTATTGGACAATGTCATGATTTACTGGATCACTAGGTCTATTACCACATCTCAAAGGCTTTACTCAGAAATGTTTAACAAAGAAATGTTAGGTCAAGGATTTGATAAGTAACTAAATCTATTTTGATGGTAATTTTCATAATTAAATAAAATATGTTTGTAGTATTCCAACACCATCCCAAGTTCCGATAGCTTGTGCCAGATTCAAAAACGAGCTCGCCAACCAGCCGGAATCGTTGCTGAGAATGAAATATTCGAATTTGCAGCAATTGAATACGTACGATGGCGGTCATTTTGCTGCCTTCGAACTTCCTGAAGTGCTCTCCAACGATATTTATGATTTTGCTGAAAAAGTATCTGTATGATAGAACTTTTATCAATAAAGAGTTGTGATTTTTTTTAATAAATGTATTTTTAATTTCAAATAGCCGCAAAATCAAGACAAATAATAATTGGTGCCTGAACCCTGAACTGAATCTAAAAATAGTAGGTTTATTTATTGTTGCGTCCCACGAACATGCTTATAAAGTTTGTTTATTCCTTTACATACCACTTTAATTAATCATAGGAATTTTAAACAATATTAAAAATCATCGTCTTATCTTACGAAGCAAAATCTAATAATTTCATTCTTATCTAGCTGTCTCTTAAATTACATACTTATTTCTACAGTTAAAATTGTTTTTTATTGAATTCAAGTAGCATGGAGTTATTGATGGTACGCAATATGATAATGATTTGAAATAGTTATAACCAATGACATCTGTAAAAAAATCTAAAAAATCTTCTGTGTGACGATTGGCTTCATTTTGTAGAAAACCTCAAAATTCTTTCTAGGTGAATCAGAACATATTGTCACCACCCCTATACGTTTCGTCACAACAGGAGCGTGACCTGGGGGCGTAGGTGAGGTAATATGAGGTATAATAAGATTATGTATTGAATAATAATAATATTACCCTAGAAATAGTATCATGACGTCTCTTCTACGGAGGGACGTACTACTTATAGGCCACTCTGTATTATGTACTCTCTGCACACTTGGCGTGACTGAAGACTGAAGCTAGGTTTGAGACAGGTCCATAAGGGCGTTTCCCATTAAAGGTAGTTTGCACTGGACCTAGTCTGCTACGTTCAATACTCCCAGAAGGGCGTTTCCCATTAAAGGTAGTTTGCACTGGGAGGAGACTTAGCTAGAGGGGCTTTTCCCATGTGAGGTACTTTGCACTAGCCTTAGTCTGTCGGTAATGGATTTCGGCGCGGTATTTATTTAAACCAAATAAATGCTGACTCGTCGACATACTTTGGTAAAATTGATGTACAGAGTGGTATTTACTTAAGTAGTTGACAATATTTAAATTTTTGAATACTGTTCCAAAGAGAGAATGTTCATGTCTCAACCCTGTATAAACCTTAGCCACCAGAACCTTTAAATCTCTGTCAATAATTTGACGTTTATTCACTTCGTGCATGTAGTTAAGAATTTTTAAAAATCAATTATACAATTTCTAGAACCTTTTACATACAACTACCAACATCAACTGCTTATATTCTGCCTAGAAAAAAAATTCAAAAAGGCTACCAAATAACAAAATTCCGCTGGCAATTCTGGCATGAAGGTACGTGTAAACTGTCAATTTAATTGTCAGTAAATTAAAAATTCGTTGCAGATCAAAGAAAAATCATCAGTTTCGGAGAAAAACCTATTGAACCAAATCAATAGGTTAGACAGGAGCGTCGATAGAAATTTTTTAGAGCATCGTGCTAAGAAGAATATTGCCAAAAACCCTTTGATTCAGAAAAATATAGGCTTCCTGCACAACTACAATAACTTATTCAGAAAATCCTCTCTGCATTCCGGAGATACCGATAGTTGTTTCAGGAAATCGTTACGAAGCTCTTCAGATCATTTTGATATTATCAAATCCTTGAGTTTGGAGAAGTCAGTTCAGATACAAAAGAGAAGAAAGAAACGATCAGTGTTAACTCAGTCGCATCTTTACTGTGACGACTTTGTACCCTTTGGAAAATTTGAAGATTTTAACAAGCCAGTAGAAGCTGAAAAAGACGAAAATCAGTCTTTTGAAGAATTATTCACAAAGGAATCTTTAGGAAGCAACTTCCAGAGTGAAAGTGACGAAGGCGAAGGTGGAGGATATTTTTCACCTTTAGAGGGTTTTAAATCAGGTTCTCAAAATAACAATATTTAAGTATTGAAATATATTTTATTTAATTTAGAACCCGAGGATCAATTTGAAGAGCTTCCAGAAGATAAAGGCCCTCTTGTTTCGCAAGAAGAAGACGAACTCACTTTATTCAATCAAGAAGGCAAAGAACTTTTGAAGGAAAAGTTCTATTCTTCAGAGGACAGTCTTGTTAGTGCCAGAGAAGCTTTAGAATCCATTTACAAAATGGCTGAGGAATTTGCTGGAGAGGATGAGAATATGAATTTGGAAGATGTTGAAAGAGATGTTGACGAGGAGATCGACGAGGATGAAGAATTGGAAGACGTAACTATATTTGCTCCATCAATAAGTAAGCCACCGAAATATTTTAAAATTTGCTTCAGGGTGAAGATGATGAACTAAAAGATGTTGAGGAAATGATTCAGATGGCTTCAGAAGAATTGCAAAAAGTCGCAGAAGAGAACAAGCAAGTGATGGAAAATTTGGAGGTAAATATGAAAATGTATTCTTTAATTTAAAATATAAAAATAAACTATTGAAGGAAACATCCACACCAGAAGCACGCAAACAAGGAGACGTAGCAGGTAATTTTTATATTTTTGGGTGTGTATTATTTATTAAAATAATATGTTCTCTGGTGCTGAAGATGATTCGGTATTCAAATTTGACCCAGCAATCGATGCTGCTCTACTCAAAGAGCTGGAAGAAGCGGAAAAACAAGCCAAGGCCACCGCGCAAGTGATAACTGAACTTAAAGAGCGAGTGGGTGAATTGCTGGAACAGGAAACAATGACGGACGTTGAAGCCAAAGAATTGGAAGTGAAAAATAAAGAACTCAAGACCCAAATGATTCTATTCGAACAAAAAACCAAAAGGATTCAGTTCCTTTTAGGCCAAACTAATCTATTCGATGAAATGCAACCGGTGCAGCCAGCATTGCAAGTCAAACACCCGGAAGACGTTTTACCAAAAATGCTCGTGTGTGGCGTTCACGACGATTTCGTACCAAAAATTGTGATGTGCAATCAAAGACACGAAAAATCTTGCAGGCCTAGGAGCTCTTCAAGAGATCCCACCAGTCGGCCTAGGAGCTGTTCCGGAGATCCCGCCAGTCCCATTGCAAGAAAATTAAACGAAAGCTACAACATGCAAGAACAACTGGTCACCGAGAATGCTCATTTAGAAGGTACCAGGTAAACAAAAAATGAAATATGTCAAATTGATTTTTGGCATTATTTATAAGTTATTAGACAAAATTTTCAGTGTTAAAATTCCAGATACCAACTCCAATCGGATCTGATGAACAAGGATCAGACGGTAGAACACCTACAGCGGCAACTTTGCTGTATGCAGAATGAAATGAGAATGGTTTACCAGGAGAATGCAATGTTAAACGATCGGTTCCAGCAACAGCAACAGGCCAGCTGCGCGAACCCGTCGTGTCCGAAAAACTCTAGATCCAATTCGCCCGGTAGAAAAGCAGCTGGCGGGAACGTTTGCGGACCGGGACAAGGAGTGTGTCCTGCGGACGTTGAAAATAGGCTGCAGGAATATTCGAATACGACTAATCAATTGGTGCGAATTTCTCTTTATTAACCCAGACAACACACAAAGTCTTAAAGACGTCTTTTTTCAGGTCTGCATTGCGTCTGAATGTGTGAAGACAAAAAAGACGTCTATAAGATGTCCTAAATTCACATCTTAAAGACAACTGAGCCACACTATTTGGTACAACCGGGCTTAAAAGTGAATAATGGTTTATGCGTGTTAAAAAGAGATTCAAAGACGCCTTTAAGGCATCTTTAGAATAGCATGAAAACGTTTTTAGGCAGGCGTTTTAAGACGTTGGGTTTTGTAACGTGTTTAAGATGTGAACACGTAAGCAGACGTCTTTTGAATGTAGTTTGTGGACATCTTAGGGTCGTTTTCAAGATGTCTACGAAAAACCACAGAATTCGTTTTATCATTCAATTAAGAATAAGTTACTGGAAACTATTTAAAATGCTTTAGAACACTTTGTAATTTTTCAAAACACGTAAAATTCAATTCAAACATTCCAAAAGAATTCTGTAGCGCTATAGAACAATTTGGAAACTTCAGAACCATTTTAGAATGCTCCAAAACATTCAAAAACCTATTCACAATCACAATTTCCAACAGCAATTTAGAACAATTCAGAAGTTTGAAACCCATTTTAGGACGCTACTTAAAAATCTGTCAGAACAATTTAGAAATTACTGAAAGACTTCCATAATGCTCCAGAACATTTCAAGCCAAGTTAGAAGTCGTCTGATTGAACTCCGAGTACCGCTGCAGCCGGAGGCTTGAGGCTTTTTGTGCTGAATCTTTCTGTTTACTTCACCCATTCCAAAACCCTGGTTCCCTGCAGTAGGTGAAGGAGGACTATTGGATTTTTCCGTTTGTGTCTGAATCTAGTTCATCTTCTCCAAATATATTTTGTCTTCTGCGAGTTAGTGCATTGCATTCTGATGATAATATGTTGGGCTGTTTCGCTCTCTGTTCCGCATAGTCTGCAGCTCGTCTCTCTGTTGTACAAGCCCATTGTTTCCAGGTGTTTCTTTACTAGGGCATCCCCAGTAAGAAAGCCTACTCTCAGGTGATTCCTGCAGTTTTTTTGCTCTTTTGCTGCATGTCTCACATATGAAATTTTTTCCATGTGCGAATACCCAAACATGCAGGGTATTTGCTTCCAGTATTGAACATGTTTTACATTGATCCATTCCTTTAGCTCCTATCTTACTGTGGCTTTTGGGCACTCCGAGAGCTGATTCGGAACCGAGGTATTCTGTGGATGACCCCCTACGTGCAAGTTCGTCAGCCTTTCCGTTGCCCGGGATACCTCTATGCTCTGGCACCCACATCAATGTGACGTTATTTTGATCCGCCAAGTTGTTGAGTTCTTCTTGGCTTTCCATTACCAGTGTAGAGTTTGTCTTAGGGTTCTTCAATGCCCTCATCTTCCTTCATGACTGTAGATTCCTGCGCCTGATGCCATTCCCAGTCTTTGACCCGTCCGAGTACCAGGTCTGACCTTTGAGATTGGAGAGTGCATGTTGGTTTTCCCATTCCTTCATTTCACTAATTAGGACTTGGAAGGACATGTCGTATTTGAGTTGAGTATTTGGGAAGTGCATAGTCAGTTATCATGTCGAATACTG